AACTGGGTGCGCGGGATATTGTTTCACCCTGGAGGAAGATTCATAGTAAGCTGTGCTGATGACAAGACCATTAGGATCTGGGACTACAAGAACAAACGCTGCATGAAGACCTTGAGTGCCCACGAACACTTTGTTACCTCTCTTGGTGAGACGCACTTTTTAAAAATAAATAAATAACATATGACAAAAGATGAAGCTGTCTGTATATGAAGCTCTGTAACCTGAGCTGGAGCTGATGCTCACTCTGTGATGTGTGAACTTGTTGAATGTGTCTGAGCAGATGTTTCCCTCTCTTGCAGATTTCCACAAGACTGCTCCCTACGTGGTGACGGGCAGTGTCGATCAGACAGTCAAAGTGTGGGAGTGCCGCTGAGATTGCCTCAATCACCCCCAACCTCCATCCCTAAAGCCCAACCCTGTCCTGCACCCTCTTCCTTGTGCCCACCCCCAACCCTCTGCACTTCAAACCATAGTAGACCAAGGCCGCTTTCCCCTCTCCTCGCTGCCCTCTCCCTCCCTCCTCCCCTACATCGGTCCAGCCCTATTAAGATGACTATTGTCCTTTTGTGTAAATTATTCTGGATGTAGGGTACGCTTAATAAATGTCACGCAATCTCTGACACATAAACACACTCAAAAAAAAAAAACAATAAGAAGTATCCTTGCATGGTTAATTCAACAAAAAAAAAAAAAATTCTCTACTGTTAAATTTGCATACCGTTCTCATGACTTCCCGTCGGGTCAAAGGGTAAATATCTGTGTGCTGGCTTAGGTGGGTTCTGGTTAACAGTGCACGAATACCAATAGCACCTCTTTGTTGGAGGGGTTTAGTTTAATTTTATTTTACTCCATGCCTCCATTGTTGTGGTCTGTCACTGTGTGGTTGGTGATGGAGAAAGTGTGAGGGAGGTGGGGAAAAGTGGATCCTGTCCAGGAGACGACACTGACAATGAAGATGAAAAACTGAAGCAGGCTGCGGCTCCCTAGATGAATCTCATGAGTTTTGTTTTTTTGTGCAAGTGCACATGTACGTGTGTGTTTACGTCTTGTGAGTGCGCGTGTGTGTGTTTGTATGTCACGACAGGAGAATCTCTCCAGCGTCTCTGCTCTGATGGTCAGAGGAGAGAGGAGGCAAAGTTTCTCACCCGCTGTGTTCATTCATGCCGCTTTCATCTCTTTTAACGAACTTGCTTTCTAGTAGACACTCACAGGACCTTAATGATCCATAAGCTGCTGAGAGCACAGGCACACAGCCCATAGCGAGAAGTGTGTTTAACAGAGGAAAATAAGCCGGCTCACCTTTTTCTTCCTGAGGTTTGTGCGTGTGTGTACGTCGCCCTGGAGAAATCGCCCAGTGCCCTCTTTTTTGCTCGCTATCTCTGCCTTGTTAACCCACTGAGGGCTCCCTCACACAGGGTTTTCATTCTGCTTTCTGTGGTCTCACTGCTCTCTTTATACACACACACACACACACACACAAACACACTCACAAATGCACATACACGCACAGTAAAAGTTGTGTATCAATATATCTGGATGTCATTGTTTGCAACATAATAAAATTCTGTAAATATAACTTGCCTGTGTGTGTGCTTTCTTTGAGGAGGAGGAACAAGAACTCAAGGAGTAAGTTTGGATGCTTCAGCACATTGTTCAGTCCGTTTGATATTAAAGGCAACTGATTGGATGCTGCAACTGCTGCACTTGTTGCTTTTAATAGTCAAAAAAAGCGGGCTAGTCTGCATGTCAAAGTAAGAGCTTTGAAGTCTGTGTGCCGAAGAGGCGTTTAAGTGCTTTCTTGATAGGATTTTAATTGATTTAACACAAAGAACCAATTGTGTAGAGACTTGTTTGTGCTATTGGTTTTATTTGTAACATGTGCGTTGTTTAATCCGAAAAGTATTTTGGCTCTTGGAGAGCAGTTGGTGCTTGTAAATCGGCAAGCTTGGATTTTAAAGCCTGTCTGCTAACTTTAGGTCGCCAGACTAAAATCTTAAGAAAGAAATGGGTCAGTCGAGGAAAAACTGCAGCTGTAGACAGCCAGTATTATTTATGTATAACTATCAGGCTCAGGAGCACTGATGTTAGTCTGGCGCTGCAGTGCAACCTCTTCAGGGCGACTTCCATCCAGTGAGGAGGTCATATAGTCACTGTTGCTGATGCAAATAGAAGGAATAGATCAATCTCGAATATTTTCTTTAATGAAAGATAAGATGAGAGACATAAGATGTGATTTAAAAACGAGATGTTTGGGTGCTGTGTGTGTAAAGGAGTTTAAAGTCCAGTTCCTTACACTGAAGAGTTCAGGGCCTTTTTTTTTTTTTTTTTAATCAATTATGTACGGCACCTCAGCCTACTTCTGTGCTCTCTCACACACACCTGCTCACTCACCCACACAGCAATTACTCTTCCTCTGCGCCTCCTGGTATCCTAGCAACAGTTGCCTGGATGGCAAGAGCAAACCACCACACCTTGCTCTGTCCTGCAGCCCTGTGAGGGTACTCAAATACTGCTAGCTATACAGGACTGCAAAGGGTAGGTGCAAATGCCAAAATGGGGATTGATCACCGCACGAGTTCATGCAGTGATTGTGTCTTCGTGGGATTTAATGAAAGAATAATGAAACCTGTCTCAGTCTGAAACTGGCGTTTCTCAAAAGAGGCACTGGAGTAGAAACACTGGCCTACATCCGCCCCACCACCTCTCTCTCATATATGGCTTTTGCACGCTTTCTCCCTCGTGCAAGCTGAATACTTCATGAGATGGTTAGAAGAAGGGAGACGGGGGAGAAGGCTCACTTTCTCATTTATATTGCTTCTAGGTCACCCATTTCTACATAGTTCTGTAACGAGACTGTTGATATGGATTCATGGCACAGAGAGAGACAGTGAGCTACAGGGAGCTGTGAGCCAGCATCGATTTAAATAAGCTGGCATGATAAGAAAGTGCGGAGAGGTTTCAAGGTCAGTGTACAACACAGACACGTCAGATGCTGCAGTATTGATTCAACCACGGAGAAGTAAACTGTTTCATGCATTTGTCTGCATTTGAAGATCTCCGCACTGTCCACTTGCACATGCGGCTGCCGGATCGTGTAATTTATAGGTTTCTGTGTCAGCTCAGTGTAGCTTAGATGAATCCCATTTTAGTTTACGTGACCGGTGTTATAATCCCTGCAATGCCCGGTGAGAGCGTTCGGGAAAGCTTCAGAAATGGATATGTTACAGGATGTGGCGCCCTCTCGTGGTAGCATACATGAGGAGGCGAAAACTGCTGCCTCCCAGCACTTTGCAGCAGCAAGTAAGCAGGGGACACATAAATGTAATGGAAAACGGAAATAGAATAACTTTTAAAGGTTGTTTTTGTCTTCACAATGACAACAACAACAAAAAGGTATAAAGAAAGTTTCAGATTAAACTTAACGTTTCAGGTGATCAGCATTAACTGACGACATAATGTAATTTTCTAAGATGCTTGCCAGATAGAAGTTTAAATTTCTATCATAGGAGTAATTTTTCTTCCCCTATGTTGCTTCCTTTTGGTCTCCAGTCTGTAGATCCAGGAATGATGCAACACTTCTAACTGGGTCAGCCTGTGCCTTCCTCGCATCCCTCCCGCCTTCCCCACCATCGCTTCAAGTCACCCCTCCTCTTCTTCCTCCTCCTTTCCTCCCACCCCTCTATATGCAAACACTCCTATAGTTTTTTCACCATGCAGCTCATGTGCTGCGGCCTCTTGTCTCACTCTCGCCCCCAGCCCCCTCCTTTTTTTTCTGCCTGATTCATTTTCTCCCGTCCATGCATGCTGTCATAGTGTCTCAGCCTGTTGCTAAATGACTCCCATCCCCTCGCACGCACACACACACACAGTCACTTTACGCTGGCTAGTTGTTATTGTGGTTTTCCCACACAAACCAGACTCTTAACCGTGTGGATCGTAATGGTGTCAGTAGGTTTGTATGTACAGGAAGGGCACATTGCGTGGCAATGTGAGCTCTAAATGTATTTCTGAGCTGCTCTTCAGATTGGCTGATACTCTCAGACCTCGGTGCGGTGGAGAATATATATGACTGAGCAGTGTCCAATCAAAGATAGTTACCATGCAGCCACATACTCTACATATGTGCATCCATACACAGCATACATCCATAAATATCGCTGTAACTGTAATATATTTCAAGCACTATGAGACTATTAATCGGTCCCCTGAGAGAAACACACTGCATGAACCTTAAAGCATACATTATAGAACAAAAGACATTGACATAAATCTATCATACCAAAGGGCAGGAGCATGTAGCTACAGAGAGGGAACATCCCCTTTCTTTATTCCAGTGTGTGGCACAGAAACAGCGCGGATGAGACTTTAAAAAAAGTGAGGTAAATGGCAGAAAGGAAATATAATTTACTGTAAAAGGGGTTTTATGGGCAAATAATTGCAACTACTTGTATGTTTTTTTAAATAATAATTAAGTAACATTTTTTACATCACAGTGCATTGTGGTCAGCTGCTTCTCCTCTGATAAGTCCCGCCCCCTGGTGATTTGACTGACAGCTCTGATCCGGAGACGAAAGGGTGGCCAGTCACGCTCTCGCCATGCAAATGAGCTGCGCTCAGGCCGGGCGGGTGCCCATGTGGACCAGCACCATGCCTTGTTGTTCTGAGTGCTGATTGGCTGGCTGGCGCCTGATCGGGCTTCATGCGCTGCGGGCCAGCGGCGGAAAGAAAAACATGGAGGGACGTTTACGGCTACGGGGGTTTCCTTTCTCGAATCCTGCGGGGATAACGCCACTACACGAGGAGCCCCTTTGTTCGCGGAGCTTGTAATTCATCTTCATGCCATTAGGAATATTAATAAATGAACAATGGAAGGTGCTAACAACCTGGTAAGTTAGAGAGCGGAGGAATGGGAAGTGGTTCGGTCGCCGGATTTTGTGGTTGGCCATAGTAACAGGGCGGGGCAGTAATCCGGGAGGGGCGGGCCCTAACGAGAACACGACTCGCCTTGTTGTGTGTATTCCCGTGCTCGCATCGCCATCTTGTTGCCATCCTATTTTTTACGTATGCGAGGATCTACTTTCCGTTCGGCCGGATTAAAAATCGCCCGTGTGCTTTCAGGAGAAACCCAAGGGACGAAAGGTTTGGGAGGGCTGGTGTGAACCGTGCATACGACGCTTACTACTGGGACGCTACTTACCTCCCTCCCCCCTCCCTCGGTCTTTTTCCTCCTTCCGTCCCGGGCTACCGGGTCTCCTGCCGTGAGGTTTTACGCGCAATGAGCATCGATACGCTTCTGGAGGCGGCCAGGTATCTGGAATGGCAAGCCCAGCAGCAACAACAGACCACACGTGGTGAGTTGAACAGCAGACCAGGGGGTTCGTGCTCAACGTGCAGGGCAGTGTACAGTGTGTGTGTTTAATACCATACTCCCTTTTGAGGAACCGACACCCGTTACTACCAGCGGGTTGCATTTGTAATCGATCCGCCTATGAGGCGTTTGTTTGGGTTCCTGTCAAAAAAAATAAAATAAATAAGAAGGATTCACAGAAAACTACCACCAAACCCCAGGTGCTTACTTATTGCACAGCCTCCCCCGCATTAATGCGGAAACGACTAAAGTTGTTTTTTCGAACAACTTTGCGCGCTCTCGGGAGTGTGTGTGTGTCAGTCATAGTTTCACCACTCCAGTGACTCACCGTACGCGCGCGTGCGCGCGTGTGTGTGGGTGAGAGGCAGGAACAGGAGACTTTGTGTGACTAACCGTGGTCCATTTATAAATTGTGTGATTGTCATAGAAGTCCTTAATGTGTGTGTTCAGCTCATACACGCGCTGTAACTGTGTAATACCCCCACGCGCTTTTGGAAATCTGTAAAATCGGCAGTGAAAAGGTTTATTATAATTTTCTTTTTTTATATTTTTCCAATGAAAAATTTCCCCTGGATCAGTTTGCCCCAGTTTTTGTCCGTCGAGCGCCGGCAGGGCGGTGGCGAGCTGAGGCTGCTCTTTACATAATACCCTGACATTGCTCAGCTATCTTATGACACTCACTTGGGCGGGCCCTCGCGCGCTAACCCCGGCCCTCATTTGTATATCAGTGCTCAAACTTATGCATATTGGCTCGTGCTCCTCCGATTAGTTGTCAGTCGACGTAAAGATCACTCACTGAACTGGATGAAGGGGGTTGGGGGTGTAGAGGGTGGGGGAGGCTGCCTTTTTGTGTTTCTCCCATCAGATGACGTGTCAGGCAAACCAGCCCCCCGCTCCCCTTCCCCCTCTCGGCGTGCTTCACCCTACCGCGTGCTAGGGCCCGCCCACAGCTACCACGTGCACACCCCCTTCTATCCCCCCCAATATACAAACTTACGCTCATGCACACACACCCTCCTCGTCCCCGCCCTTCCCATTCAGTGTGCTGACAGTGGCGGGTCAAAGAGAGAGAAAAGGGGGGTAAGTAGGGCAGCTCACCGCCCTTCTCCTCGGCCCAGCCTCAATGCAGAAGTTATGTAATTTACGTTTGCGTGCGACGTAAATTATAATAATTTACGTAATAATAATACTATTATTATTATTATTATTAATATAATAATAACAATGAATAATGTAATTAAGTGCTTTTTAAACTGTTTTGTATTAGTATTATTATGCCTGTAACAGAGGGATTTCCATTTTCTGAGTTACAGTGTGACTTATCTTAACTCTTTCACTTTCAGTCTTTGTCATCACATAGCAGCTGTGTGAAAGCAATCATGATGATAAACACCATCTCTATGTTATATAGAGTATACTGTACTGAAAAACATTTTGTTACTTCAATTTTTAGTTTTAATTATTATATTATTGATATATAATTTTTTAATGCAAAATTTGGCTTTTTTATTTCAGAAGCTGTCTAAAAACTTGAAAATGTTCAAACTGCAACTATGCATGTTAATTTCTATGTGATATGTTGAAGGGATGGAGCCTAAATAAGCTTACACTGAATTAAAAGCGATATGTAGTAGGTACTTTATTAAATCCATAAGTTAGGAGATCCCTGTTATTTTATCCAGAATTCTAACAAATTAGCTGAAATAAAGCTCAATAAGATGCACAAAATAAATGAGCTATTAATATATATAATGAGTAAAGTGACTAAAGATGCAAATAAACAAACATTTAAATACAAATTTTTCTGTGTTCACATGTGACACCACTATGCAATATGTTTTAATATTTTTACGTTCAAAATATTACAAATTTGTTACAGTTTAATTTTTTAACATTGACTAATCAACAGTTGATTTAGTGATTTTTGCATCAAAGGAAGGACAGCCTGTGCTGTTCAGAAGGAGTCGGAGGATGATTTCTCAGTATATAGATAACTTGATTATAACTCTGTGGGAGCTCTCTCAACATTGTTGTTATCAAATCCTATTGTTCAAAGGAATATATTCTTCCAGAAGTGATTAGAAATATGTCTGTGGTCGTGATCGTATCATTGACTACGCAGGCCTTTTGCCCGGGTTGCGTCATCAGGAGTTTTTATTCTCACGCAGACAGGAAACGAAAGTGTTACTTAACGCACAGCTAGGCATCTTGGCATGTGCTGTTTCTGTTTTGTTGGAGGTGGCTGGGATGTGTGTTGGCGTTGTGCAGGTTTGAGGAATCCCTGGGATCTTCTAATGTTGCTGTTTCCATGGTGACTGAGGGCTTTCCACATTACTTTCTAGTCTGCCTGCTACAGTGTGCAGTAACTACTCACTCATATCATCACTCACTGTGTGTATGTGTGTGTGTTTCTTTGCCTCTGCATAATGATGTCTTTGCCTTTGTTTGCAGCACAACAGTGCTTCATTTGTATGTTGTCACGCTGCCAGCTCTAGTTATCCCAGCCGAATGGCTCCTTCACAACAGTCCTCAACTCTTGGTCAGACGCCCTGACGCAGCCCAGGACGAGAGGCTCTCTCAGTGCTGGACCGGTCCAATCACAGGGCAGACTGAGGGGTGTTCTCTCCAGTCAGGCAATAGATTCAGAGACAGTTAATGTGGTTATTTGCCCCTCCTCACTGTCTCATTCTCTGATGACATCATTCTTTGTACGTGTTTGTGTGCAGGAAGTGTTGGTGTGCATGATACAGACAAAGTGAAATCCATCATGACAGATTCGGTAGCGTAGCAGTGAAGCTGTTAAGAGGACCTGTAGGGAACATAGGTCATATGTTGGTTGATGAAATCAGAATTTATGAAGAGTGCTTTCTGCATTTAGCACAGATCACTTTTTTTCTAGATTTTGGGAATAAAATTGGCTTTTCATCAAAGGAAACTCACCAGGGCTGTAATAAAAATGTAACAGGAGGTTAATTTACTCAGGCATTCAATACATTTCTTTTTTCAAATGGCCAGAAATGAGAGAACAATGCAATACCTCCTTTTCTGTCAGACACCCCAGACTCAACATCTTAATTGTATGTGAACCAGTAGTGATAAGGAGCATACCCCTCCCACCCCACAGAGGTCCATTGTGCACTAGGAGACCACTGCAGATGTGGTCTCCTAGCGCGTTTCAGATATGATAAATGTCTGACATAGGTGAACATTAAACAGATTTTGTCCTGCCAGATCCTTGCTACACAGTCAGTGTGACGTCTGATTGTGTTGCAATCCACAGTGAATGAGTGGGCGTAGTGTGTCCTGCCTCCTGCATGCTCTATTCAGACAGCACCCTCGCCTAAACCAAACGAAGTATTTCCAGTAGTGAGAACCAATCTGATGTGGACTATTTTGTGTTGTGTGCTACGTTTGGACAATGACGCAGCCTGTTAATGAGTAAAATGTGCAGAAATACTGTGTGAAAACTAGTTTTAACTACTGAAAGGCCAGTCTTGCCAGATTATCATATACATCACATTCCTGCTTGTCTCCTTACATACTACTGTTGTCACGCTGATTCTGAAATCCTGGGCTGATGTTATAAAAGCTTGGCTCATAGTCGGCACTGATGGCTGCATTTTATTCTGTTTGATTGTTTTATTTTTATAGTTATTTACTCTTCTTTTGTGCCAGAGAATCTTTATTATATCAAGTAACTAAAGGTCTTTTCAGCTCTTTATCACACTGTCTTTGAACAGAGAACAGATGCATTTCAGTTGCTGACATCAGTAATTGTAGACGACAGTCAACAAGACTGTTATCCGCCAATAGTGATAGTCATCCATCCTTGTTCTTCTTACTTGTTTGATGTTATTCCTTATTTGACTTTAACTTACTTCTTTTCCTCCTTTAGAAGAAGAGCAACTTGAAGACAACGAGCTCATCAGAAGGGAGGCGGAGTCAAAGCATGTGGAACTTGTGGCTTCACCATCTCAGCCAGTAGGAGCCAACCATGTCACCTGGGGTGATGAAACTCACCGTCAACAGCCGCATCACCTTCCTGTCCTACCGCCCCCGTCTCTACCTACTCGTCAACTCCCCATTGCCGTCATCCCAATGGTACCGGTTGTCACCGCGACGCCTTCAGTCCCGCCCCTTCCGCTCAAAACGCCAATTGCTGCTGCAGCAGCGACGCTCAACAGCTCCCCGCCAGTCAAGAACTCTTCCTCCCCTCCACCTCAGCCGGCGACTCGTCAACTGTTGTGCTCCCCTCAGATCAAAGTGGAACCCAGTGAGCAGCTGATAGATGTAAAGCCTGGAGCATCACAGCTTCAGGTTCAGATCAAGTACCCGGCCCCCATCAGCACTAATGGCTCCCAACACGCACTGGTTCCTCATCAGGCCCCACCCATACCTCAGCCACAACCTAACGGGGTGACCATGGAGGAAATGAAGGGAATGGAAGGGAAGAGGAGACCAGGAGGGTGAGTTTGTTTGTGTGTCTGTCTGTGTGTGTGTTAAATAAGGTATAAAGAGTGATTGGCTTATGGTTGATTATTTATTTTGCCTTTCCAGGGCGGGGACCAGAGAGGTGCACAATAAACTGGAGAAGAACAGGTTAGTCAAAATGATGGTAACCCCTCTCATGTTGAAAGAAATTGAGGAAAACTTGCCTTCCACATACACACATTTTCTGGGTGTTTTTCATGAAAACATTTAACGAGGGCAAAGGTCACGGCAGTTCCTGAACTAATATAAATCCATGAAATCCTTCATCAAAAATGCAAAATTGGAGGTTTGAAATGTGTTGGTAAAAATCCCACGCAAAGAATCGACCTTCTTAAAAATGGTGAATATTCACAGTTGAGCAAAGACTACCATATGAAGTTCGACTCTTACATTTCTGCCTCTTCAGGCGAGCGCACCTGAAGGAGTGTTTTGAGACACTGAAGAAAAATGTTCCGAACATTGATGAGAAGAAAACGTCCAACCTCAGTGTTCTCCGCAGCGCTTTGCGTTACATACAGGTAAGGACAGTTTCAGCTTTCCCCAGCAAGCTCTTCATGTTACTTTGTCAGGACTTGAATTAACTGGTTGAGCTCTGGGGACCTCATAGGTCATAGGTCCAGTGTTATTGGTGTGGTTAGTATCTTGTGACGGTGATACAGTGTCTGCTACATGCTTGTGAATCAGTCAGTATAATGTAATACTTGGAGGCTTCTTTGTTTCCAAGACCTTGGTCTATACAGTGGTAACCAGTTGTTCCAACACTGCCCTGTAGTCATGTAGGGATAGAAAAGAAACAGGCTGAACTAAATTGGTGGTTTTCAAAGTTTTTGTTCCAAGTCACGTCAGAGGGGAAACTAAAAGTTCAAGGCACACCTTTATCCATGGATGTCTTCTTTAGATTGTCTTGTTAGATGAAGGGACTTCATCTAAAGCTCATTTGTGGCAACTGGACCTCGATTGATGCCTGCAGTTTTTTATGTAACAGTGTTACAACTTTATTAACATATTTCTTGCCTCAATCGCCTTTGCAGACACTTTGGTTCAGCTCAAGCACTCTTCTACTGTAGGCCAAGTTTCTCTCATTAGCCCTTTTCCACTAGTACCTCCTCAGCTCGCCTCAACACAGCTTGACTCGACTCGACTGTTTCAGTCGGTTTCCATTACAACTGAGTACCACCTAATGTGCGTGGGGTCGTTATAGCAACATGGCCGAATGTCCCGTGCTGTCATTTGTATACCACAGGAATGCCACAACAAAGGAGGACGTCGAGGTGATGATATAACTGCTGCTCAGTGTGTGGCTTTTTGTCAAACCCAGTGGCCACGGTGTTGTTTTTTTCTGTAGCCATTTCTGTCGCTCCGAGGTTTTAAAAAAATGGGGGTTTTGAGCGTCTCCTTTTTGTGAAGGAGACGCTCTTGTCACTCATCGAGTGATGCCACTGTCCAGCCAGTCAGTGACGTGCAGTCTGTTAATGTCATATTTTCGGATTACCTCAGATTGCTTGGATCCTCAACCGAGTAGGGACTAAACCTATCTGGTACCAGCTAAAGGACACAAGCCTAAAAACCGAGTAGAGCTGTGCCAAGCTGACCCAAGTAGGTACTAATGGAAAAGAGCTACAAGTGTCTTTTTAGCCTGGTTTGGCACAGTGTTAACTAGGGCTGCCACAAACGATTATTTTGATAGTCGACTAGTCACCGATTATTTTTGCGATTAGTCGACTAATCAGATCATGCATCCATTGGACGTAAAACGTACAGCTTATTGCACCAGCATGCATCTGCTCTTATATAACTATCATTAGCTTACAGCTTTAAGTGTTTAAGGTATGTGCTAACTAAAAATAAAGACAAGATGATAGTTTATTAAATTTTAATGAAATTTGCAGATTGTTTCGGTGAAGTTTAATAAACTCAGCCGTCTGCTCCTTGCTATCTAAAATATAATGGGACACCGGAGTATATTCTCCAGCATCTCACACTTCTGATAATCAGTTGTCTACTTGACGTTTATTCAGCTGTGTAAAAACAATAACTTTAATCTCAGCCAAACCGATTTACTCAGGAACAAGTAAAATACTAAAAAAAGCCAAACAATAACATTTTGAAGTTATCTAAGTGACTTATATATATTTAACCTGAGTAGCGAAAGACGGCGGTGGGTTTGAAAACGATTTGCTGGGAGTCCGGTGTTCTCACCGGCTCTAGTGAGCCTTGCCCCCGGCTAGCTATCGAGCTAGTGGGTAACAGACGTCTCCGAAAATGTCGGCGCACTTTTGAAAATATGTGGTGTCTTGATAAACTGAGCAGATATTTGAGGTTTACACAGCTACATTCTCGCTTGAAAATATGTTAAACTTTATTTTGTGACCCAGAAAGAATAATAAGAGTAATATTAAAACTAAGTAGCTGCCGCCATTGTTGGAAACTGAGCAGGGTTGCGCTATGAATTCTGGGACACAGCTTCTTCTTCTTCGGGGTTTAACGGCAGGTGGCATCCTTGTACATGGAGTGCTGCCATCTTCTGTTTCACTCTTAAATCCTACTACTTATTCCTGCGTCTTTTGTGATCTTACAAAGCTTCAAATGACTCGTCGACTATTAAATCAGTCGTCGTCGATTTTGATAGTCGACAAAATCATGACTAGTCGAAAAATCGTGGCAGCCCTAGTGTTAACACCCGGCACTTTCTCTGACAGATGGCGTTCTTGGGCTCAGGGTTTTGCCTTTTCCAGTTCAGCTGAAGTAACACGGGTTGCTGTCTCCAGACTGTTCACTGACAGTTAGTTTTTTCTCATTTGCAGTGGCCAATTTGCACTGTTTGTTAGTTACACAAAAACATCACTCTTATTACTCTCCTCCTCTCAGTCAGGGCCTTTGGTGTGTCTTCTTCTAATTCCCTTCATTCAGCAACTGAATGAACTTATTTTTATGCTTTAAACTAAAAACTACTGGTACAACCTCTCAACATTTCACTCTTAACTTTTCGTGTATATTGTAGTAATAATGTATGGCTGTCACAAAGTCCCACAGCACACCTGGACTTGCATCACATCACAGCAAATCTTGTGGGAACTACATAACATGAAAGGATAAAATGGCAACTTTTTTTTGTTAGAAGATCTAACATTGCACATCGAGGCGCAGGGGGCTGATGGTACTTGGGTGGAGGGACGACTGTATAGCCCCAATAGGGAAGTTTTCAGTCTGCAAAAGTAGACGAATGAGGACTTCTGTACTTTTTTTTTTTTTTTTAGCAGAAATAGATGTCAGGGTGGAGCTACTGTCTATGTAGGGGGTTACTTTATTGCAGTGTAAGCTTTAAGATTTTGAGTCCAATGAAATACGCAGTGGAAAGTCAGTGGAAGGAGCTAAATTAGGGCGTGAGATGAGGGAATTTATTCAAAACAAGATGACTGCAAGTTCATGGGCTGCTCTCTAGGGAGCAGAGCGCGGAGGGATTTCAGGCCATCTTTAAGATGATGATGGTTGTTAGGCAGAGCCAAGCTGCGGTTGAGGAAACACAAACAGCACATATTAGATACACGTTTCTTGCTTTAGAGGTAATATACAGTGAAAAGTGTCTTGTTAGTATGGGTGAAAGGTGAGTCAGTATGTCTGTAGTCTAACCTTTCATGTGTGCCCTGTTTGTACAGCAGTGTTTAACCTCACTGCACACACAGTTTGCAACCTTTCACCTCCAGTTTAACTTGTCTCGATATTCTGGCAGTAGTTATACTGATGGGAAGAAGAAGTTGAATAAACTTTGTTGTTGTTTTTTTATTTTATTTTAATTGCAGAACTATTTGAAAGACTATCCCTCTAGGTGATCGTGTAACATTCAGTGATATCAGTATATTGGAGGGGGTGTGCACAAACAGAAAAACATTAAGTATCGCCTGCTTTTTATCCATTTTTCAGGATTATAAATTAGATATTTTAGGATTTGGGGCTATTTGGCAGACACAGCAAGACATTTGAAGTTTTGTGGAGAAGCAGAGTAATCATTAGCTTAACAGACACACGGCTAGTGTATGTCAGCGTTGCTTGCAGTATTTTCCCCAGCCCACACTGTACTGCGGAGCTGGTTGGGTAATATCTTAGAGGGATGCTTTTCCTTTATCACACTATGTTGAGGCTGATGAATTGCTTCACTTTTCTTCTGTTTTCCTTTGATGGTTTCATTGTGGCATACTCTCCTCTGATTTATAATATTTGCTGGCTTTATTGTAGGTGAATGACTGCGTTTAGATGCGTACAAACACCCAGTCTTCCCTTTTTTTTTTCTTTCTCCATGAAGCATAAAAAGCCTGATTATTCATATCCCTGCGTGCACGCTCATAACAGTTTTCAATTTTCTGATCGTCTGCCTGCAGGCAAGTCGTGATTTTATCTCAGCTTCAATGTTCTGAGCCAAAAACAGAAACTGGAGATGGTGTTTTAGTACTCCGGGTAGCACATCCAGGTTTCTCAAATGATTGATGATGGTGTTTCCATGCACTGCAATCATAATCAGGACCTTAATGCACATTCGTCCTTTTCTCTTCTCACCTCTCCCCATGTGAACCTGTAAACCTCTTCCCCCTCCTTCTCGCGGAGCCATGTGAGACCTGAGCACATGGCTAGCGCAAGGCCGATGATGTCACCACAGCTCACCCACTCCAGTAGCTTTGCATCCCTAGATTGCAGAGAGAAGGAGATGTGCAGTGATGGGTTCAGTGTTTACGCTAATGGAGCGGGGCATGCACTTATATCAGCTCTTCTTTGTCCCAGCCTTTTCTTATCCACATCTGTGTCCGTCTCGTCCTGTGTCACCCCGCTGTCTCTTGCCTTTAAAGCACTTGGTAACTATGGCAACAGGCGGCAGGTGGCCGGGGCACTGTAGTGAGTCCGTTCTTCCGTGTTTGTCTGCATGAGGGAGTGTGCCGGATGCAAGACTAAACGAGTCAAATTCTGGTCATATTGGTCTTTCTGTCAGCAGGTATGGATGATGGAGCACTCATGGGTGCTTTCAAGACATGGATAGTCCTGCTGCCTTGTCCTCATATCAGATTACAGATGCATATGATTAAGAAAAAACCTTCCAGGGCAAATTTCATCTCACCTGAGTCATTTGCACCTTTTTTTTTATTACAGGGAACTTTCTGAAATGAGGATGGATAAAAGAGCGATAGATGAAGCACAGGAGAATAAGGGGGGAAGGGTCTTGAGGGAGTGGTGGATGTGGGGAGGAGGAGGAGGAGGAGGAGGAGAGGGGAGTGTGGGATGGAAGTGTGGAAGAAAGAGGAGGAGGAGGGGGGTTGGGAGGGATCCAAGAGCACCCGACTGGCAAACACCCAGTCGCATCACTCCTTATATGTAATTGCCCCTGCGCTTCACCCAATTAGAGGGCTCCTTATGTTTTTTACAAACTGCTGCTCAAGCAGCCAAATCCTCACAAATGGGGTTGCCAAGGAAACAGCTATGGGTGGCAGCTGCTTCCTTGGTGATTTAGTGCAGGACTAATGGTGTCTGGGTTGATGCGAGTAGACCTTGAAATGATGTTCATGGACACACTTGCAGTTCTTCGGAAGTCCTTGTGTTTTAAAGAGTCTGCTGTGTCAATTAAGTGTCACATCTCCAGCACTGGAGTGCGTTAATGCTATGTGGAGCTCCGCAGATCTATGGTTACATGTTGTATGTGTGTAGTAACACTTTGCAGAAGTGTCAAAAATACTGTTAAAACGGACGCATTTGATTAAAGTGGGTTACTCGTGCTTTTGTTTGTCTTTTAGTTTAGTGCATGTAGTGGAGAAGACAGGCGCATTAAAAATGTCCACTACAGCTATGGATTGTTTCTCATCCCGGCATCTTTTGAGCTCCATGTTGGTGAACTCCATGCCGATTCAATTTCCTTCTCAATCAACATCTGACCTACTATGCGTATTGCACATAGATGATATGCTGCTGGGTCAGGGGAAGACCGCCTGCAAGTGCATCTGCTTTGGTTGGCTTCTGTAACGTTTCTCACTGCACAGCCAGAGATGCTGATCCATCCAAAATCTGTGTTAAAACAAGCTTCAAATTTGTGACGACAACATGCATTTTTATCAGAACAGAAAGCTGCCCTTAAATTTGCTCTATTCAGAGTTTTTTTTTATGTATCACATGCTTTTATGTTTCTTTGGATACTAATTTTAGCTAAAGGAGTTCACTAATGACTAATGTCAATAAACAACTGGCTCCAAAGAACTACAGAGACTCCTCGTGAAGATAAAAAAAGAAAAACTAATGAAGTTAGCTAAAGACAGTCGAGCGAAGCCCTTCTGGCCAAATGTAAATGTTAACGAAGTTGGGTTAAAATGGGAACAGCGTTATGATTCATGGAGGGACTTTTCTTTAGTTTTCTGGATCAAAACTGAGCCTGAGTAGTCTTTCTCCTGGTTTATTTTAGCTACCACAGAAGGTATCAAACATAGCAGGTAGTTTCTCCAGTGGAGTACTTGCTATGTGACAATGGTCAGCTAATTGTTCTGAGCTGCTGGAGCTGGTAACCTTTTTCAAATAACTTTATTAGCTAGATGCATACTTGTAGCTTAGCAAAGAAGCATATTTATGGAGGGGATAGCTTCAGCACGTTCAAGTTTGTTGTAAGTACACTGATAATGAGTATGCAGTATTTATACTGGTCTCACCGCTGCTCTACAGCATGACGTGTAGTATTTACAGTAATCCCTGGTTACACTGCATGCATATAAAACATTATGTCATGTAATGTTTCCACTGTGTAATCACCATTTATGTTTTGGTTAGTGGGGTTTAAAATATCAATAAAAAGATGACGATCCACTTTTGCTTCTCAAATGGCTAAAAACACAGAAATCCACAGACTTCTATGATGTTTGTTAAGGCAACGAGTCTGTACTATCTGTGGACCGTTTGTGCTTACGTGTGTAGTTATGCCTTCACCTTAGAAGTCGGATGTCGTAGCTGACTTCACATTCCAGTAGTAGTTTGAAAATCATGGAAAAACAGGTTTTGGTTTGTTCTGTAGTGCAGTGAAACTATTACTGCGTCACTCGTGATACGGTGCTTGGTTTTTGTTTGTTTGTTTTTGCACTTAAAAGCACTACTGGAGCACATTCACAGACAAACTGGTCAGTGCTCTGCATATGGTTTATTTAGCTACAGCATTGGTTACAGATAAGTTTTACTGTTTTGCTAATGTTTACTTTAACAGTCAATCTTGGATTGCTGAGTTGGGTTCGGTAGGGTTGCGCTGAACTGACTTCAATTCAAAATTGGAGCTGGAAACTCATAAATCGTTACCTCAACATCAAATGAAATTCACCAGTACCTCCCAAAGGCCTGCTTTGAAGCCCAGATCAATGTTTTGATTGATGCCAGCTCGTTCATGTTAACATCATTAATAATAATTTTACACTGCGTACACAGAGAACCTCTAGTACAAAAGCACCAGTGTTGTTTAACTGTGTGGTTACATGTGGTTTGTAAATGTAACCTGGTCCTATGCTGACAAATCACTGGAACTGATTTGCTGTAATTTCCAGCACTGCCTCCTCGTCACTTATGACCTCTAAAACTGCTCGCACGATCAGGCTTCACACAACTGCGCGCGTGGACGTACAAAGAGGGGAGGGCGTTGGTGTGAGCGGTGTTGAGCTGTTAAGTGATTTGAGTGCTGCTAACCTGCACCATGTGAACTGTTTAAGGAGGGCTGTGGGGAAGGTGGGTTCGTGTGTGAGGCCATCACGTGCCTGCAGAGAGTAAACAGCTTTTCCTGCAGTAAGATCATCGCTTGGATTTCCAGCCTTACCTCAGTTCCCTTTTGTTTATTATCCTTTCGGCGGTTCGCTCCGTGTTTGCGCTAATTGTCAGATAAACACAGCCACAACAAAAAAGACAGCACAATTACACCCGTGATATACATTTATCAGCAATGTCTTCCATAACAGCGGCACAATTACCAGCAATCAGACCACCACAAACAAGCCTATGCTGGCTCAAAATGGGCCTCGGGGGGTGAATGCACACATAATCATGACAGGTCTGCATACATTTACCTTACTTAGCAGAAGTCTGTTATTTCAAGCCATTTGATTAGCTGTAGTATTGTAATTTAAAACCCACCTTAAGATTTGATTTGTCTTACAATCCTTGTGATTTTCCTTCTGTTTTCAAAGTTAAAACCCTCGTGGTGGGTGCCAGAATAAAGTGCAAGTGGCACGCGCCTAATACCTCCTGGATTTGTTCAGCAGTTATACTGGAAGAGGTGGCGCTCTGAGACAGTCTGATACATCACTGAGGATCATTTGCACCCTCATTAGCACAGGAAGCCATTTTCTGCCAAGCCTTTTTTCCCCCTCCAAGTTTTCATGCTGGCTATTCAACATCTCAACCAGATATTTAGTTTCCAGAATTAATCATCTGCACACAACATACTATTCTACTTTTCTCCTCCCATTCCCCGCCCGTACCTTCCCCTCTACCTCCTCCCATGCGTCATTCCTCACCAGTAATCTGCCTTAATGTCCTTAGCCTGTCATAGTGTTTGGAGTTCATGCGTCAGCTGACCTACACAGAAACTAGGTCACGACGATGGTGTGGCGGGCTGGGAAAGCTCTGCTCTTTCTTCCTAAATCTTTCCATGAAGCTTCCGTTCTTCTTGCATTTCCTGCCATGTTTATAATCATTTCATTTTCCTCCACAAACACATTCAGCTCACTCTTGCTGCATGGCGGTGCTCTAGAAATTAATGCATTTATTATTAACAGATTTCAGTAATCCAGTGACAGAACTGTAGCAGTAATTAGGAACTATTATCAACCCCAAAGTGATTTGGGGTTGATAATAGACAGGAGGGCGTTTTCTCTCACTCTGGCCTCACTCCACTGGAAAAAAAAACCTAGCGTGATATCTAAGAAATGGGAGGAGCTTAGGTAAATGACTAAATGCCACTAAAGCAGTGTGGACATGCTTGAATTTGCAGGCGTGACTTCCCGCTGGTGTATGAATCTGGGATAGCATGGATAATGTTTGTTTAGAAGTACAGGGAGAAGAAAAGTTGTGTTGTAATGCTGTTTATTTACAGTATTGGGTTTATTCTGAAAAAGCCACATGGGTTATTAGTTAAAAGAGGCAAAATGAGGGAGTTTCCCTTTTCTCTGACCTTTCTTTGCTGTTAGCTGTTGATTAAAAGTCCCCCGTCTGTTTCATATTAACACACTTCCACTGTTTCACAGAGCCAAATCCCCCCACGCTTCCCTCAAAGGCACAAACTTGAAACAGCTGCTTAAAACCAGGCAGCATCAGTCAGAGCTAATGAAGTAAGGACAGGTTTTTCTTAAAAAGAAACTCGGCAATAGGATTACTCATCGTCATAGTGATGTAAATGATTTTTTAGATAGCCTCACTTGAGACTGCGCTACTCGCCAGTTAGCCTTAACATTAAAAGCACCCGCCTGATGCTATGTAGCATCCCCCTGTGTACCTCAGATAAATCTGACCCAGTGCATCCTTTAGGTTCTTTGGGTTGCAGGATGAGGCCTCCTGGTCTTACTTCACTTGTTGTTGGTAATTGGTTAAGACATTTTTCTTTTTTTGTATCATAAATGCAGATTTGACGACATATTATATTTTTATAACAGTCTACACCTGTTCTCTTTGTCATCCTTTAAGACTCTGAAGCGCAAGGAGAAGGAGTACGAGCACGAGATGGAGCGTCTGGCTCGAGAGAAGATCGCAACGCAGCAGCGGCTGGCCGAGCTGAAGAACGAGCTCAGCCAGAACATGGACGCCATAGAAATCGACAGAGTCCTCAGACAGACCATCCAGCCAGAGGACGACCAGGCCTCCACGTCCACGGCCTCAGGTAAGGGAGCAGACTGCAGCAGTTTGTTTTCAAACTGAATCGCAGGAGAGAAGGGTGATGAGAGAAGTTTGTTTTTTGATGTAGCAGTCTTTAAATGTGGTTTGAATTTCACTTTTACGTAAACATTCATATCATGATTACTGTTTCTGCTCTAATCTGCAGAAGGAGAAGATAATTATGAGCAGGATATGGACGAGGACGTTCCCGCCCCTCCTGCTCCCACGCCCCTCCCCAAACCGGCTCCTCCCATTTTACAAGCTCAGCCGCTCATCACCCCTCACCTGGCGATCCAGCACACCACACTGCCTATTCTCACCAGCGCCTCCCCCGTGGGTCCCCCTCCACCTCAAGCCATTGCCCCTGCTCCAGCCCCGGGTCAACCCCCACCGCCACCTCCTCTTTCTATCCAGCCCCCAGCCATGCAGGTCCAGCCCACCGTCATCGCTCACGCCACTGTGTCCCATGCTTCAGTCATCCAGGCTGTCAATAATGCCCTTCCCGCCAATCACAAACACCTAACGCATATCGCCCCATCACCTGGCCCCAACTCTTCCACCCCTCAGCCGATCACAGCGGCTCCGGCTGCCCCTGCCACCGCCACTCACCAGCCAATAACTGCCCAGCCCATCGGACACATCACCGTCCATCCGGTGGCCCACCTGGGCTCTCCTTTGGCATCCCACCTCCCAACTCTCTACCCCCAGGGCATGTCTGTGTCCCAGCCCACGATGGTGGGCCACATCGCCCACACCTTCGCCCACCACACCCTTCCTCACGTCCAGGCCAATCCTCAAACTAACACTAACGGCGCCCAAGTGAACAGCGCGACTGTGGTGAGCCAGGGAAGCCCGTCGCTAGGGAAACCCACAGCAGTGCTGGCCCCTCACCCACAGCTGGTTGGACAGGCTACTGTCCTGAACCCTGTCACCATGGTTACAGTCCCAACCTTTCCCGTCAGCACGCTCAAACTGGCCTGAAACAGACAATAACAGACAGGACGGAGCGATGGATGTGAGACAGGAGAACGAGTTTTCATCTCCTGTCAGTCGCAGAGTCTCTGACAGACACGTGAACATTTGAGCATCAACTGTTTCTGGACTTTGTGTGATGAATATCTTCTGAGATATTTCAGTCACAGCTCTGTTAGTTTGTGAACAATTACATTAAAGCTGAGTCAGCAGGTCGGGCCATTGTTTGTGAAAATGCGACTGTGACGTTTGTCTCCCCCGCAAACACAGGAACTCTGTTTTACCTTTTTATCTTCCTTCCTTTTCTCTTTATTTTACTGCCAGAGGCACTAACACAATAAGCTCAGTTTGCACTCAGGCATCAAGGATTTACCTTAACTGGTCATTCAGTCATTTAGGGGAAATGATTACAGCGAGACAGAGAGAGGACTTTGAGCTCGTGTGGGACGTGTAACGTCACTCCTGTGTTTAAAGGGTGGAGCTGGAGTTGGATTCAGTGGTCTCATCCAGATAAATCACACGCAGGGCCGTTTATCAGTTAATTACATCACATAACATTACATAGTTAATTAGGGCTAAAACATTGTCACTTACTGATGCAGTAATTTAGTTTCTTCTACCAGGAACACGACAGGAAAGTTTTTTGTTCTTCCCCTTTCGCTTTTGCCATGATCTAAGTTCGACACGTGGCAGACGAAGTCATTCTTTAAACATCTTGCAAATAGTTTAAGGAAAAGAATTTGAGGATGGTAGTGCAATAAAAAAAACCTGACACGCTGCAGTTCAGAATACAAAAAAAGGAGACGGCACATCTTTTTAAAGGCAAATTCTGCAGTGGAGTTAATTTTTTTCATTTTCTTTTTATCCACTACCTCAGAAGGCTTTTATTTTGGAGGGCGACTCCAAAACAGCGGATTTGCTCCAGAGAATTGGGGCAGTGTTTGCTCGGTTTGGTGAGCGTACAGTAGTGTCTGTTATTGATGGCCCTGTGGAGAAGTTGTGTCACGTTAACCACAAATAAAAGTAGGGCAGTAAGTTTGAAGCGAGCAGGAGCTGAGTCAGAAAAGCAGCTGAGGATAGAAGCTGGCAACTGGGATTTTCCAGCTATTTGTTGAAAAAAATAGTTAAAAGTAGGAAGAGCGTGCAGTGCAGTCAGCTTTGATCTGGTTACCTACACCCACAGTGAAAAGCTTGCCTTCGGCTGGGTTTTTTTTAAAAGAAAGATGTTAAAGGCTGTCGGCTATCTTTCACTGCCAGATTCAAAACCTGAGAAGTTGCCCAGTTACCCACAGGTCATTTGAGTGCATCAACTCCCGTCAAGTCTGCACACACTGGTGGTTATTGAGGCTTAAAGCGGCTTAACGAGCCCTCAGGAAACCTCCTAGGACTGCTCCGAAGCTCGTGTTTGTGCGTTTTAATAGGATTGCTTATTAGCTAAGACATTTTGAAACCAACCAAAGGCCTGAACGAGACTGTACGCAGAAAATTGTCTGCATACCTGCTCTCAAACAGTCAGGCAGGTTTCCTTTTGTCCCTTTGATGAGTGATGTTTCCTCAGCACACTGTGGGGAAAACAGGTTTCCAGCCTCTTTAGTGTAACGCAACAGCTCCCTCTGCTGTCGTTACCCAGGCACACACAGCACATACGTTTCCGATGAGGCTTTTAAAAATTGTGAAAATGCTTTTTTTTCTTCTTTTTTTTTTTTTTAACTTAAAACGAAACAAAATTATATGACCGTACGGAAGCTTGTTTATGCCACTAAAATAAAAACAAAAAACACAATGTTGCCGTTCAGACTTCTGAGAACATAACTTTAAATGGTTAGTATTTCAAAATTTCAGCTTTCTCAGAAGTTTCGCTCAGCAAGATGACATTTTGAAGAAATAAAAAAAATTACATTCTTCTAGTGGCAGAAACAACCTTCCATAGATTGAACTTTATCACTTTATCTACTTGTTTTGGAGGGCGATGCAAGGCCAAAAATACAGCTTTTCATTCCAAGAGAAATTTGGAAGAGATGTCCGACAAACACTGAACACCAAATCTTCAGCCCCAGTCCAGAAAATTTGTTTAAAAAAAAAAAAAATCAAATGTATTTAAATTAAAAAATCCGAAAGTGTGTTCGTGTGTGAGCGCATTCTCACAGCCTTCTCGCCAGCCTTTTCATCAGATTTCTCTTCGGTATAATGTCGTCAGTCTTGCGTGGCTCTGCTCCTCACCTCCTCTGCTGGTTTCCGTGTGTTACGTATGTATATGTGACTGTATTCAGTATGTTTTATATTCTGTACTATAGCTAATCCTATTGTACCTGTAGCATGGCTCTGTTTTTTGTTTAGGTTTTTTTGGGAGGGGGGTGTTTACCCTTTGCCCTGTGCATGATTGAATGTGTGTGTGAGCGTGTAGCTAGCAGGTTATTTTTTTACACAGAGGTGATTTATGGTATGAGCCTGTTTGGGTGCTATCGTGTGTGCCTCTACTCAGTTTTCCTGAACACTGTGACAGCTCTGGCAAAACACGTACACATCGAGCGAATGGAAGAGACAAAGATTTACTGTCACACTCGTTTTTTTTCTTTTTCTTTATTCTCCTTTTTTTTTTAACATTTAAGGTTTCCATATTTGTGAGTTGGACTGAGACATGAAATGTAGGGGAGGGGGGGCAAAAAAAAGCTGTTGATCCTTTCTTGATAACCTAATAATGTCTAATATTTGAGTTTTTGTAATATTTGTATGTATGTATGAAAGTTTTGTAAATTTGTGATTGTATGCACGTTTTGGCAAATGAGTGTATGTATCTTCAAAATTTTAAAAATGCTTGTTTCTTTTTTTTTTTGGTTTTGTTTTGCATGTAGATTCTGTTTAGTTTCTTTTGATTAGAAGTTTTGTTTTAATGTTTTATTTCTGGGACCATGTACAATACTATATAACGTGGGCAGAATCTTGGACCTCATGCTACATTGATATTATATATGAATATAAAAAACATCTTTTCCCTATGGAGAAAGTTTTAAGTTATATATCGCCTGTACACTTTGGGCTGCCTTTTAGATCTAACTGTCCACTGTTTAAGATAACCATGATAATAATGGATTAAAAAAACATATTAATGAAGAATTATGCTGATGAAATAATAAAGATTCTTAATAAATCTTATTACATTTACAACATATTTTGCTTCTGCGTGAGTGGTTTTCAGAAGAAAAATCTAAACGGGCTTAAGACAGTTTTTTTTAACATTTTTTTTCAAAACTTTCTTTACAAAACAGCAAAATTGGATTTTAAAAATTACAAAAAAGTCAACTTACAAGAAATAAAAGCATGAAAAACTGTTTAAGTTGAAACATTAAAAAAAACTTACTTTGCTACAGCGAACACTAGATGGCAGTATTATATGGAGGCCTAAAACTACCATGATCAAAATTAAATAAACAAATAACTTGTTAAATAAAAACACCATAAAAAAACCCCAAAAAAACAACTTTTTTTTTGGTAATGTGTTTCTGCGTCATTATGCAAATTAGAAAGGTTGTCGATCGAAGTGGAGCAACTTTTCACCTACTGCACATGTCAGAGTGATCGTGTGTTAGACGCAGGGGTTGAACCTTTTTGCTTTCAGTAATTTAGAAGTGTGAGGGCTCATTACAAATTTAAATACGGAAGAAAAGTAAAATAAATATCAACATATTTGTTTTTAATAATTTCTCAAATGAATGATGTATTTATTTTGTTTGTGGCAGCTTTGGTCCATTAACGAGGTTGCTGATAAAGGGATCATGTTCACATGATAAAGAAACAAATCTACCAGTCATAAAAAAGAAATGCAAGTGTTATGTGGTGAAATATGTTTTCAGTCTTTGCTTTGCAACAGATGTCTGAAGACGAGGTGCTCCAAGCTGTACTAGAGGCAGCGGTGCCTCCTGCTGTTCAGGAGGACAATGTCAGGGCAGAGCTGGTCTTTCTGGATCAGGATCGTTTTCACACACGCCCTTATTATTTAGCACCAATATGTCTCCTATCAAACATGTCTGGGACATTCTGGGTCAGCGTGTTCATCAGTGTGCCTTTTGCATGATGAACACACCCCAACTAGTCAAACCAGCCCCTCCCTGAGCGTGGTTCCGCCAGTTAAAAGAGGGGTTTTCCTTCCCACTGTCGCCAAAAGTTTGCTAATAGGGGGTTTTCTGATTGTTGGTGTTTTCTCTGTATTACTGTAAGGTCTTTATCTTATAATTAAAAGCATCTTGAGGCGACTGCTATTGAGATTTGGTGCTATATAAATAAACTTGAACAGCAACAATCGATTATCATTGTACAGCTGCAGGCTGCTCATCCAGGAGTTGGTGACTGCTTGCATTGGATCACATCTTATATTTACATATGCCATAGTGTTGGTCTATAAACTCTATTTAAAACACTGACTTGTGTTCTTTTCTTTAGCTAGCATGTGACTAAAACAGTTGGAGCACTCTGGTTTTTCGAATGGGTGACTCATTCCACAGTCCAAATCAGTTATCCTGTTGAGATGCTCCCGAACAGCAATACTGAGCTTTTGACTTGCATGTCCTTGCAGTATCCTTAATAGTTATAGAATGTTTTAGGATAAAGTTCATGATTTTTCTTTTATGATTAGGAGGTTAGATCGGGAGTTAGATCTGGAAAAAACAGTGAAATCCTTTCTAGTATCTTTGGAAAGTCGTGATTCCAACTATGATTCTCACTGCAAGTTATCCTAAGTAAGAACAATTAGAAATAGGCTCAGTTTCAAGCTTGCCAAATGCCAAGGCCTCCTCTGTGACTCTGGGTGCTCCTCGTCTGGCTCCTGTTTCAGGGATGTACGGTGAGAATCAGCAGCCACCTCTATGATTGTGCTGCATCTGCTCCTGAATCCGCTCCAGCACCTCCTGCATCTTTCTCAGCTTAAAAACAAAATAAGAGAGTAAATACAGGTCTGATTACTCATAAGCTAAGTTGATGAATGAATGAATGAATGAATGAGCAAAGATAAACACACCTCTTCATCCTTTTCATAGATCAGTCTTTCCTTCTCAGTGTCAGCGACGGCCAGAGGCAGAGGAAAGTCTGCCTCACTACCGTCCCGATATTTCTCACGCAAACTAAGACCAAACCCACACACACAAAGATATTTTAAAAATATCTGACCTCACTGTGCTTAACAGGGTTTTTTTTAAGGTTTTTTTAAAAATATTGGTTTGTGGTGTTGTGCATCCTGTCTCCACCCACCTGCGTTTCCTCTCCAGCACCACCATGCGTGTCATGTTCTGGATGCACTGAGCTCTGTAGTTCTCATAGTGAATTTCCCGCGTCACGTCCTTCAGATCCTGCATGTGCGTCCTCACCAGCATGTTCCTCAGCAGCAGGAAGTCGGAGTGAGCCGGGTTCTCCACTGACCATGCAACAGCAACATTGTTACCGCATCATACTGGATTCTTTGTTATCAAATGGAACAACAGCCAGGTGCGCAACTGACACAAAATGTACTCTAAGGGGTAATGATTGAGTAAAAGTAAACCAAAAAACATTTTAAAAAAACGAAAGTAAAATTAGAATTAAAAGGCTTGGGGTAATACCTTCTACCACGCCCCAGGGATAGACGCGACCCCTGAACTTTCGACCTTTACTCTCCACCTGTACGTTACTCCCAATCACAGCAAATGGGATGCTGTTCTGCAAGAAAACAACAACAACAACAACGACAAAGAAAAAAGCCCAAACCAAAATAAACCGTCAGCCTTAAAATAGACCAGACAACACATTTCAACCATGACAACTTATGAATAAAATGAGGAACCTTAAGTATCTGTTCCTGTGTCTTGAAGTCTTCGTCCTCATCTGAATCACATTCAGGAAACTGGTAGATGTTTATCCCAAACTGCTTGATCTCCTCCCTGATCTGGAGCACATGAACAGTCATTAGGACAAGATGTGTAACAGAAATAGATAAAATATATAACAGAGATTGGCGATCAATTACAGAACAGAACTGGGTTGCCAGAGGGTCAAATCGGCCCTGCTGGATAGCTTTGAATAGTTTGAAATTAAAGGAGTCATGAATAATTCCAACTTTGTGCACTGCAATTCCTGCTGTGTTGTGATACAGGGCAGGATGGATCCATGCCTACACCAAACTCTGACCCTAACTGCAGAAATCAAGACTGCTTCAATCTGATCAGACCAGGTAATGCTTTTCCAGTCTTTTTGTGTCTGGTTTTAGGACCCTGTGCAAATTGTAGCTTCAGTTTCCTGTTCGCAGCCGACTGCAGTGCCACCTGGTGTGATATCCTGACATTGTTCTTCATAGTTCCACATGTTGTTTGTTCAGAGATGCTCTTCTGAATACCTTCACTGTAATGAACGGCTATGTGGGTTAATGTTGCCTTCATGTTAGCTCTAAACAGTCTGACCATTATCCTCTGACATCAACAAAGAGAACTGCTGCAGGCTGGATGTTTTCTCTTTCTCAGACCATTCTCTGTAAACCCTAGAGATGGTTCTGTGGGAAAGTCCCATTTAGATCAGCAGTTTCTTAAGTACTCAGACCAGCCCTTCTGGCCCCCCAAAACTATGTCACATTCAAAGTCTTCTAAATAATCTTTCATTCCCATTTTGTTGCTCACTTTGAACTTCAGCAGGTCCTCTTGACCATATCTACATGCCTAAATGCATTGAGCTGCTCCTGTGTGATTGGCTGATTAGATATTTGTGTTAACAGAGAGTTGAACAATACCCAGTGAAGCAGCCGTGTGTACATATTGGTATAACTGAGCTGTTACCTTCATCTTCTTTCTGCAGACCTCTGCCGGTGTCAGGCTGTCAGCTTTGGCCAACACAGGAATTATGTTGACTTTTTCATGAAGCGCCCTCATGCAGTCCACATCCAGAGGTCGAAGGCTGATAAGAGAAAATAGTCACATACAGAAATATGGAAAAATAAGCAAAAGTTTAGCTGATGCTGTTGGAACAGTGTTATCGCTGTTTCATCAGTGTACCCATGTCCGAACGGTGAGATGAAGTAGAGGCAGCAGTGGACTCTGTTGTCCTGAATGTTTCTTCTGTTCAGCCCGCTCTCGTCTCTGAAGTACTGTTCAAACTGCTGGTCGATGTAGTCGTCTATGTGCCTCCAGCTGGTGCAGAAACAGAAAATGAATGAGTGAAACCTGGAGGCACACTTTCAATGTGAGCGATGAAATCAAGGGCTACGTATGTGCTTCTGAAACCTCAATTCAAATGCCACCAAAATACCAAAGTCTTGCTCGAGTTAAGCTGGTTTGACTGTGAGGAGGAGTTCATGACCTCACCTTTCTGTGTTGTTGACGGCATCTCCGAACCCTGGCGTGTCTATGATGGTGAGCCTCAGTTTGACTCCTTTCTCCTCAATGCCAACGGTGTGTTTGATGATGCCGACTGTTCGACTGATCCGCTCTGTAAGCGCACGCAGTTTGTACAAAGATGCATGAGATCACACACGTGACATCAGATTGTGTGTCTACCCCCTCCCCCTGCCCCAATACAGAAAGTGAAAAACTAATGCTTACCTTCAGCATTGAGAACCTTTCTGTCCTTGTAAAGATCCGTGAGGAACAAACTGTTGATTAGTGTGGATTTACCGAGACCGGACTCCCCTACAGAGACGTTTGAGTAAGGTAATAAATCATCTGTCTTCCTCGGAAGAATTTGTGTCAACAGATAAAGTTACAGGGATTTATGGACGCCACGCTCCCACTAATCAGTGGCGTGTTTTAATGATCGCTGGCAGAGCAGTGATTTCGTTATCTCCACTTAAGAAGATATTTTTTTTAACTCTGTTTTACTCGTTTATCATCACTTAAGTTTTTTGATATTTGATATTTTTGACTTGTTGTGCCTTTTGTAAAATCCTTCCTCCTCAGGAGAGAAATCAGACTCACCTGCGACTATGAGTGTGAATGTGAAGCCTTTCTTCACAGTTTTTCTGTGGACCTGGTTTGGTAATGTGGCAAAACCTACGTACTCCTTGTCCTGATCCTAAAGAAGGAAAATACAAAGATAACATACACATATGTGTATGTTTACTGCTTCAATTAGAAATTCTCTCTACATCCTCGAGCTTCAGTGCTCCTTAGTTAATAAAGCAGTCAGATATGGGCCTGAAATGTCCAAACTGGTTATCAGTAACCCTGTCGTTGTCCTCATGGATACTGTAGCACTTATTATCTTGAATAAATAAACATATATTGTGTCACAATAACAGCCATGACTCTGGCGTCACAGGCTGATCCCTATTGGGCCACAAGCTGGACTTCACTTTGCCTTTGCCCCAGAAGCTTCGGTGCACAGACAGGGTGAGCAGACAAGAAAGGAAACCATAGACGCGTCTTAGCTTTAGAGCTTAATATGCTCTTTAAGGGCCAGACAGATGTGATAACCAAACTGGCTTGCCGCTTTTTTTTTTCCTGTGTGAAAGTTGATGTCGTAAACTGTGTTTCTTTGAAAGCTGCATGAAGGAGTTGCAAACTGTTGAATGGGTACTGAAAGTGGGTGTAAGGTTTTAAAGATGTACTACGAAGCAAAGTAACACAGAGGTTCAGGCAACAAACATTTAGAGACATAAACAGCCAGACATTATATAAAATAGTAAAAACACACCTCAGGAGAGTCGTAGGGGTCAAAGCGTCCCCAGGGGCTACGTGGGCGCATGGAAGGGCTGAGCGGCGAGTCCAGAGACACCTGAGAAACAATTTGCCTCCTCAGCGGTAGCTGCTGAAATTCTGGATCCAGTCCCATGTGATTATGTCTGGGAGGGACTGCTGGAGAGCCCCCGGGGTGGAAGGGGATGGTGCGGACCAGAGAGGGAGTCCCAGGAAGGCTGAGGTGTCTCACATTGATGGGGCTCCCAATGCCTTCTGCTCCATAGTGGCCTGGTCTCTGGTGCTGTTCACCAGAGTGAGACATGAGAGGCAAATCCCTCATGGCATAAGGATACTGCATGTCCTCCTGGTCCCTTATGGACAGACTGGACAACTAAAACAGAGAGCAGCATGATTTTTCCTCTGTCTGATATTAGTTTTTTTAATTAGGCGCAGCAGACGAATATATCTCTGCTGACAGGACTCTTGTGAAAGCCCCTCTCTAATTATGAGCGTGTGGCGATATGTGGCTGATAACCGCGCTCTCCTGAAGGTACCGCAGTGATGCTGGGCTGAGGCTGATTTTGGTCATCTGATAGGGGGAACCAGCTCACTTATCTGCCTCTTTTTCCTCATTGTGGCTTTGTGTATGTGTCCACAGCCTATGTATGTGTCCACAACATAGACGGGTTATCACCACACTCACTCAAGATTGTTGTCTAAGCCTCGTGTTTGCAGTCAAACAAAAAGATGGGTAAGCTGGAGAAACATCGAACCCTAAAACCTGAAGAAAAGTCACACCATGTTTAAAATACTCGTCATTCGTGTATCAATCATTGGTCATGGTTGTACCTCTACTGTCTGTCTGACCTCAGCGAATCGATGGTAATGCTGATATTTTGGCTTTAACAGCTATAACTGGAGGTGTTTTTCCTCTAAGATAAGCACTAACTAGGCTTCCTGTTAATCTCATAACATTACACACTCCAGACTGCCTGTTGTGAGAAGACAGAAGGTTTCTCACAACAGACCAATAAGATTGTCTTTGTCCTCAGAGGAATTAACTTAATAACTTAAATTTCCAGGGTAGCCACCTGTTCCAGGAGCTCTGTGTCACAAGGCTTTGACAAGGAGATATAAGTAACTTAACAAAGAATAGAATCTGGAATTTAATAAAATGGTAATTGAAGGAGGCCATGAGGGGGTGATCTGTATTCCGGTCATGCAGTAAATGAATCATAATGCTATTACAGTAAAACCATGATTTTTTGGTGTTCCACTGTAATTTTCCTCCCGCCCTTTAGATATCTTTAACACTACTAAAATAAAATAAAAAACAGGAAACTAAAAAGTGTGATTGTTTGTTGCTCTCTGAATACATGGCATAATGACGTATCTTTTCTTGCAGTGTTGGACTAAACCCTTCACTGATTAGGTGTGACCTGTGATCTCATTATACCGTTACAAATGCCGTCGTCCATCTGTCCAGGCAGGATGTAGAGACAGTTTGAAGCTGGAGGTTAGTAAACAATAGGGACAAACCGGATATACCCACAAGGCTGTGAGTGCCGGGTTCGTTCAGCATGAACTCTATAGCTAGTTAAAAATAACCTGAATTGTATGTTTTTATGCTGATTTTGTAGTTTTCCAAATCTTCACTCCACACCTGCTTCCACACAATATGACTGTACCCTATGATGAGGAGCTAGGATAGGGAATTTCCACCTGCTTTATCCAAGATAAACACACTGGGCTCTTAAAGTGGTTAAAGGAATGCAGAAAAGCATCGGCCACGGTGCTGCTGGATTGACCAGGGTTTATCTGGCATTCCTCTACCTGTCAGCTCTCATTACCCACAAAACTTTGCAGTAGGCTTAATCCAGCTTCTAACGCTCTGACAGGGTTGGGGTTTGGAGATTTAACTCTTAAACACACACATAAGCTCAAACAAGCACTACATCTATAGGCTACTCTACACAATTGTCCTACCTCCTTGCCCGAGAAAGTTGAAGCTTTGTTTTGAGGAGAGAAAATTGGAAAAAATATATATTAAAAAATAATTTATTCAGGTTTGCTGCATCCATCCTGTACAATGCTACTAAAAAAAAACGTAATCAATTTAACTTTACTACACACCCTGATGTCTAAAAAGGAAATCTGCAATAAAATGCAGAACTGAAATGGAAAAAATAGCAGAAAAATACTAAATGACCCATAACCCCCCATTGTTTATACAAACAGATAAACGATGAACTTACAGTAAATAGGATGAGAAAACATTAGCTTAAGAATACAATAACCTACAGAGATACAAATCCTTGCAGGATTGTCACAGGCTGCAGCTTCATTGAGCTTTAAATTGGCTGAGCAAATTTTTTCTGCTGAAAGTACGAGTGTAGGCCAATTCCAGTTGATTTCTGAAGGAGTCTTGTTCTGCAGACTTGTATATTAACTGGATTATAGACTTACCTTTTTTATTGCCGCGAAATCTGACGGGAGAGGACATGTGCTCCATGCTGCCGGTATTCAAGCTGTCCCTGGATCAGAGGAGGGCAGCGCATGGCTGCAGCACAATGCTGCAGATGCTCTGTGGGCGTGTACGTCCCTGAATTATACTACTCAGCTCCGGGTGCACCCTGCTCCATGTCTACTCAGTGTTACCGCTTTTCTGTGGTTACACAACAGCTTAATACAGCTCAGCGATCATCATCATCATCATCATAATTATAATAATGTCAATGGATTGATTGCGAATCTTTAATATATTTAAAAACACGAATTTCGTGCAAAAGTTTGAGTATGTTTTGCATTTTCTCTAATCCACAGAGGGTCAAAAGCATACATACAGAAGTCAAATGTAATATTTGGTTAAATATCCCTTAGCAAGCTGCTTTTAGTAGCTATAAACAAGCTTCAAGCACAATTCTGGCTGGACATTTGATCAGTTTTGGTAAAGTTCATTTAAATTAGTTCGTTTCCTGTCACAGACACAGATTTTAAACTTAGTTCACAAATTTTCAATAGAATTGAGGTTGGTACTTTGGAAAGGCCATCCCAGAAGCTGGATGTAAGCCTTCTTTCCAAAACCAGTTTTGATGTGTGTTTGGGATCATTGTCCAGGTGGAAATCCCCAATATTTTAAAGTTTCATTCATCCAGCTGTTGATTTGAGGTAAAGTTGAAGAATTAGAAGGTACTCTTAATTCTTCCCAACTTGTGTAAATCTACAGTACAGCGTCATAGATCTTCACTGAGATCCTTGGACGTCCTCATTGTTTGGAATATTGGTCAATCTGAGGCTCTATGTATAACTCTAAACCTGTGTGGATTATAGAAAATACTGTTTAAATTCTGATTTGTGACCCATTGTTTATTTAAGTCATTAAAAATCTATGATGTACAATCCTTCCACATAGCAAATAGAAAGCTCAAAGAAACCACTAAAAGCTCAAAATTACCATGATATTTATGCTCATGATGAGTTGTTATAAACCTCTGACCACAACGAGTTAATTTTACACAAAAAATATGTTTGGAGTATTTAAGATTGGTAATCCAAGCTTGAGGTGGCACAAGATAGAAATAACTTCCTATTTATAGGAGAAACCTTAAAAAAAGAAAGAAAAAAAGGAAACATTATCTTAGCAGTAGATAATACCATAATTAAAGATCTAGTAGTGTGTAACATTTCCAGCTTTTCTATCGAGTGGCTCAAAGTGTGTTAAAATGAAGAAGAGTGGAGTCTATCAAAGCAGTGTTGTGGATTTTCTACTACCGGTAGTTGTTTTGTAAGTATGCTCCCTGAGTAAGTCCACAATCACATGTGGGCGAGCCCAGTATTAATACTAAAAGTCCATAAAATTCTCTTCGTTTAATCTTTGTGAAGCCAAAAAGACATGACATGTATAGTACTGTAGACGTAAGCAAGGTTAGCGCTCATATTGGAAAGCAATTCAGCTTACTTAGCTATCTATGCTTATTGAGTTATATTTATGCAATATTTTTAAATTTTTTTGGCAACCATGAAAGCTTGAGTCTGAAAGTTGCTGCCATTTTTATGTTTTAATATTATTGTATTTAGGTACATTTAGTCAAGATTAGCCAGTTTAACTAAGCTAGCCTAACAGCTTTTTTTGTATAAGAAAAGTATGTTAAATATTTTGGTAAGTGTGTACACATTCATGTCGTTATATAGTAAAGTAGTCACATTTAGACAATAAATCAATCAATAAACAAGCAGGAAAACGATTGGATTTAAATTTATGCTAACACGTGTGAGGCTAATCTTAAAGTGTTTGTTCAGCTTTTTCTTCCAAATGGTTAAAGTCTTCACGATATATTTCTGGACTAAACTTCTTAATGTCAACTCTGAACATCATTGAGCTGCTTTATTTTTCAAATATTGCTGGTTGATTTTACACCTTGTTGGCTACAGTAATGTTTTTGTCAAGAGAGGGCCACCACTCAAGCCTACGGGTGGTGAGTTTATATTAGCTAGGTCATGGGATTATATTATAATTTATTCAAATTTGTTAAGAGATTTAATATGAAGAATTTGGAGGTAGTCCTGCTAAATTTCAAATCAATTTAAGATTAGAGAGGGAACAAATGTGATTTTGAACATGGCATGGTTGGTACTGACAGATGGGATGAGCTGAGTATTTCAGAAACTGATCATTTAAATGGGATTTTCCTATGCAACCATGTCTGGGGTTTACAAAGAATTGTCAGGGAAGAAAAGAAAATATCCAGTGAGCAGCAGATCTGTGAGAGAAAAGGCCTAGTTGATGCTAGAGGTCAGAGAATGGGCAGAAACCCCCCCCCCAAAAAAAACAGTGCCTGATTTCTGCTGCAACATTTGTATGGTGGGGTCATACTTTGACCCAAACAACATGAAAGCATGAATACATGCATCCTTGTATCAGTGGTGATACAAGGATGCATGTATTCATGTTGCAGGAGATACTTTGGGCCCCAACTGAGCATCATTTAAATACCTCAGCCTACCTTAGTACAGCTGCTGACCATTTCTATCCCTTTAGGGTTTTTATGCTGTAGATGTTTTAACCTACAATATAAAGTTCCTTGAGGTGACTGTGAAATATATCTTAAAAAAAAAAAATAAAAAATAAAAAAAAAATGGGGGAGACTCATATTGAATTAGGACTGCAGTGCACCACTTCCAGCAGAATGAGATCATTTGTCCCAAAGTTCAAATAATCTCAAACTGGTTTCTTGAACATGTCAATGACTTCTTTGCATTCAAGTGGCCTCCACAGTCACCAGATCCCAATCTATTACAGCACCTTTGAGATGTGGTGGAACGAGAAATCCACATCATGGATATGCAGCCGACAAATCTGCAGCAACTGTGTGTTGAGTGGATCTGAGAAATGTTTCCAGACTCTATGCCATGAAGAACTAAGGCAAAAGGGTGTACCTAAAAGGTGAGTGTAAACAGTCCATCATAACAAAAATGTGTGTGCAATCCTTTAAGAAGAACAGTGCTGATAATTCTGGCTAATTTGTCTTTAATAAGGTCAGCATTTTAAAATATTAAATAGTTTTATATTTAATTTTGTGTAATGTTTGGTAAATAAATCTTTGCTACATCGTAGTTTAAAATTTTGACTTGCATCTCTTTATTTTCTTAATTATAGTTTAGTAGCAGTAGTAGTTTTAATGTCCTCAGTTGGGTTAGATTCGGTTTGACACTTTTCCGCAGAAAATACATAAGGCGACATAAAGTGACATGTGTTCCACAGCTTCTTGGTAAAAGTGAAACTAGAGCCCAAATGGTAAACAACCAGATTTAGCTTATGTTGTTGGCCAATAAGTAAAGACCAGCTGCAGTACACAAAACAAAAACAAAAAAATCCCCCCAAAAAGCAATTGAGGTAAATTATAAAAAAGGATTGTCTTTACTTAATCTGTCCACTGACAATTTTTATGGAATTTAAATAAAATTTAGTTTTTTTTGTGCGTTTCCATTAAGATCTCATGGGAAAAAAAAAAAATGGAAACAGTTGATTTCAATTTGGATATTTGCTATTCTCAGTGTCAGCTGGGCTCTAGCTGCAATCACATAAATACTGGTTCACAGTGGAGTATGAGACCAATGTGGGCAACATACAAATATTTACTGCTTTGCATGTTGAACATCTTGCATGATTCTGCATTTACATATTCCTCTCACAAATGCAGTTTCATGACTAATTTACTTGACTGAAAAGACACAAATGTCTCCACAAACTGTCTTATTCCTTTAACACTGGGCTTTGTAGATGTGGCCCATCTTGGTCATCAATCAAAGAAATGAGCCATCCTCTTTAGATGTGTCCCACAATGCTTTGTATATCCTCCTGGACCTGTTTAACTGCTCTGGTACTGGTCTTGACTGCTCACGCCGGGCTCCTAGTTGTTCTGCAGGGTTACTGTGTTCATAGGTATCAGAGCCATTATTGCATGAGTCTGTGCTTATCGACCTGCGGCACAACTGGTTTCTACCCTCTGACCCAGTCCTCACAGTAAGATCAGCCTGAGCGTTCTGCTCGTGGTTTGTGTGGCTGTCAAGTCTGCCATTTTGGTCTTTGTTTTCAGTAAATTGATTCGGCTCAGTGTGGTTATTTGTGTTTTCAGAGCATTGGTGGTTATTATTCTGCCAAAAAGCTTTGCAGAGCTGCTCTAACTCAGAGAGCAGAGGCAGACCAATATCCAGGTGCATCAGCAGGTTCTCCAGCCACTCCTCCAGCTTCAAAAAGGACGGACTGAAAGGCAAAAGTTGCATTAATGAGAAGTTTTAAGATGCTCTGCCACATATTGTCAGAGGTCATGAGCATAAATGTCATGGTAATTATGGGCTTTTAATCATTTATTTTTGTTTCCAGGGTATAATGATTGTACAGCATGCATCTTTAATGACATTAAAAAAATATTTTGAAAATAAGTAGCCCAAACAGGGTCAAAAGTATACATACAGGCTCAAATATATCCATACCCCAAAACTAATGTTTAGTTAAATATCCCTTAACAAGTTGAACCTCAAGGAACCCTTTTTTGTTACTCATCAACAAGTTTCTGGCATAATTCTGGCTGAATATTTGACCACTCATCTTGGCAGAATTGGTAGAGTTGATTTAGATTGGTTGGTTTCCTGGCACTGACCTGGTCTTTAAGCATAGTCCAAACATTTTCAATTGGGTTGAGGCTTTGGAAAGGCCACTATTTGCAATGTACCAGTACTATTGGCAGCAAAACAGCCCCAGAGAATGATGCTACCACTGCGATGTTTGACAGCTGGTACAGGGTTCCCAGGTTTGAAAGCCTCATCTTTACTCCTCCAAACATACCTCTTGGCGTTGTGGCCAGATAGTGCAATCTTTGTCTCGTCTTACCATAAAAGTTCTCTCCAGAAGGCATGGCGAGTCCATGTGGGCAAATTTCAGTTGAGCTTGAAGGTGTCTATTTTGGAGCAAGGGCTTCTTTCTTGGTGGGCATCATCTCAGTCCACGGTGGTGTAAAACTGGCTTCACTCTCCACAGTGATGGTGGTTTTCCAGCTGTTTCCAATTCATGCTTGAGGCTTGGTAGTTCCTGGGTTGTTCTTGAACATCGTTATCAAATGCCTATCATCTGATGGGGGGCAGTTCAGGTGTTCTTTGGCAAACTGGTGACACATGTGAATAACTTGTACTGATGTACAGCTGTTTGAGGATGAGGTTGAGGATTGTGGAATCTGCAGTTGTTGGTTTCAAGAGATCTTCCCAACTTCTATGAATCTACAATTGTCCTTCTTAGAGCTTTGATCTTTTCCAATGTTTAGAGTATTGATCAAACGAATGAGTGCTGCCAAACAAATCGTTTCTCCCGCAGAAAACACTTCGTCCAGATGAACAGAATCGACCTTTTAGGATTTACTTACCTGGATGACTCAGCATGCATCAACACTGTAGAACCTTCTTAACACTTATTAAAATGCGAGTATGTATACATTTCAACTTGTATGTATACTTTTGACCTTGTGTGAATAGATTCTTGTTTTTTTTAGAGACATTAAAGATGTGTGCTGTACGATCATTTTACCCTGGAAAAAGTTCAAAGAATTTAATAAAAGCCCCAAAATCATTATGACATTCACACCAATGATGAGTTGATGTAAACTTTTCGCCACTGGTAGGCTATTCAGCAGCTAGATTATTTACTGAATTACTCAGTGAAGTATTCACTGTTTGGGTAGCAAAAAGAACACTAGAAAAGTATTTATTGTTTCTGTATGTACTGGTGAAAAAACAAAAACAGTAATACTTTGCCTATTAGCTTATAATTGTCAACAACAGACACAAAACAGACATACTTGAGCTCCATCTAATTTACTTGTGGTGCAATCTTACCGTTTATCAGCGTCCATGTCACAGCAGAGAACAGCCAGTGGCATGAAGGCAGAGGGGCACTGTGGAGGGTGGTACTGCTGCAGGAAACCTGCCACATTCAGCCCAAAGTCATTTCTTCTCGGAAGGTAGTCAGGATCTGCACTCACCCTCCCTATTATCTTAAGACAGAGACAGAGACATACTCAGCCTTAAAACTGTTAAAAGTTTTAGAAACGTGGCATTTTCAGAAATCTTTTTAGCATTCCAGATTTTCTTACCTCGCATAACATGATGCCAAAGGAAAAGATGTCTACCCGTTCATCATAGGTTTTCCCTGGGAGGAAAATGTGAAGAAGACATTCTTAGCCTGTCGTGGATATTTAGTGGTTCTGCATTCAGTATGTGGAGCTACTTATCCTCAGGCCATTATTTAAATATCTTCCCTGTTTAATATTGAAGATAGCAGCTTTTATAAATCCTGAACAAATTGAGAAAATGTCTTGTGATTCCCATTTTCATTTTGTCATAATAAGAAATAATACACGCATGCATTTTTTAAATCTGCACCCACCAATACCAAAAGTTTATTGCAAACTACGTTACGAAAGGCGTGAAGGTTTAGGAGCTTGATTCAGAATCTGACCACCCCTCAACATAAGTAGTAGTGTCCTAGCTTGTGTACTCACCGTGGATCATCTCAGGCGCCATCCAATAGGGGTTTCCTACCACAGTATACCGCTTCCTGCGGTCATGCTTGCGGAGCTCTGACAGCGTCCCTTTTGTAGGACGTTCAAGTGAAGATGTTCTGCTCTGGTTTCTCTCCTCCATTACCAACCTGGCTAGTCCAAAATCTGCCACCACCACAGACTGGTTCTACACAACCAAAGAGGGGTAAAGAAGTAATAACAATCAGCTGTGAAGTCTTTATTTATTTGAAAGTGGTATGTATAATGAATTTTAATAAGTAAAATTCATTAAGATTCAAGAACTGTTGATCTTTCACCATTGGCAGAATAATAAGAACAAGTCTTGGAATTGGATTAGAAATGTATTGGGACCAAAGTTTTGCTTGTTTTGTTAATATAATTTCAGATTTAAATATAGTAACACATTCAAGTAACAAAGCAATTTTTGAAGTGGAGCTATATAATGGAAGATACTGTAATTTTTGACATGTGTGCTATAAAACATCTGTTCACCTCTCTGACCAGGCAGTTGTATGAGTTTAGATCTCGGTGGATAACATTCATGGAGTGTAGATAAGCCTGTGAAGGAGAGATGATTGATTGATAGATTGATATAGATATATATATATATATATATGTGACAAGTTTACCAAAACAGCTTAATAATTTTGCAATAAAAGGTTTTTTATTCTTAGAGTATTGGCTTGAAAGACTTACCATCCCAGCTGCAATGTCTTTAGCATACCCAACTCTAATTTTCCAGGGAAAATCCTTGTCCTGCAACAGAAAGATTATGACCACCATGTTGTGTTTGTGTATGCTGATGGTTCTCATGAAGAAACATAAAAACGTAGTTTAACCTACCATTTTTATGATAGTCTCTCGAAGAGTTCCTCCCTGGATGTATTCAGAGACAAAATGTATTCGCTTGTCCTTATAAAACAGCCCAATGAACTTGAGAACATTGGGATGGTCCAAACAGCGCATCACCTTTACCTGTAAAATTGAGAGGGATGCTGGTTAAACATGTCATGCTCTCTTCAGACACGTGGCCTTTTCTGCGCCCACGACCACTTACCTCCTTTAAAAAAGTCTTCTGCGTCTCTTCGTCGAAGCGTATCAACTCTTTCATCACCATGACCTCCCCAGTCTCCTGATGCGTTACCTTTAGAGAGAGAGAGATAAGTTCATAACGGTGCTGCTGATTAAAATCAGCGTTACAACTAAAAGGGAGTTGCAGTCAGGCAACAAAATGATGGAAACAGCAAGGCACCTTGACAGCCTGTCCAAAGCAGCCCTTGCCCAGCACTTCTCCGTGGATGAGGTCTGAAGGTCTGAAGATACGGTGCGTCCGGTCTCCTGGATCTACTCGAAGAGACTCTGAGCGAATCATTTCTTTTTTTTGAGATAAAAGCGACAGCATTCCAGGAGACAGGGGGCACTTATCTATACTGCAGCTGCGCCTGAGAAAGAAACAAAGACTTAGAAAGGGGAGAGTATTGAGTTAAGGCAAGCTGTCAGCTGACATCACTTACGAAATGTTTCTGGATCGGATTCCTGGGGTCCCTTGGTGCTGAGATGGTGAGAGTCTCATCCTAATTTGTTCATTTTGCTCATCTGGTTCTTCTCTGGGACTTGGTTCTTCCTCCAGACTTGGGAGTTTCTGGGTTGAAGATAGTTTGTTGCGGACAGGGGGCTCAGGACAAGAGATGTTATCCGAGGGACTGTCTGAGTGAAAGAGGTCATGAGGTGCCTGTGGGTTGTGCTCAATGGTCAGCTGCAGTGGTCTGCTTGTGTTCTGGATTACACGGTTTATCTAGTGGAAAGGACATTTAACATTATGGTCACGTTAACATTTTTGTCTCTTCTCTCTTAAACTTGTGATGTTATAACTGAAGCAGTGGGTAGTTTGAGGCCTACCTCCTCTGGAGAAATATTGAGCACTGGGATGCCGTTAACCTCCAATACTTGATCACCAGTGTGGACAGAGGACAGCAGGTCAGGGCTGAGGACTGATGAGTCCAGCCTGAACAGAATGACAGTGATTGAATAGGTGGGCGAGATGTGAGGGTCAGAATTGTTAATGGCTAAATTCAGAAACTCACTCTGTCACAGTCACAAGAGGACTTTTGTCTTTGCTGAAATCAATGACTACACTCAGGCCTCGTTGTCCGACTGCATGTGGAGGGAAAGAGACCAGCGCCACCATGTGTGGTCTCTTGGTAACTGGAGAAGTTGGCTCCACGTCCGATACAGCACCCTGACAATAGCAGTGACCACTGCAGAGGCAAATCAAAATATGAATACTATAGTCACTTGAAGGAAAAAAAAAAAGTTTACACAGTGTACTCAGCTTCCTGTGAAAAACTAAGTACACCCTTATTGCTTCAAAAAGAATTAAAATGAAACATCAGGTCCTGCTAATCAAGTGCACTTTATTAATCAATCTTCAGCAAATGTAAGCACCTCCATAAAAGCAGAAGTTTGGACAGTTTGCATATCTGGAGCATTCACAATGCTACAGTCTTCCCAAGAGTGCAGAGAACCTCTGTTGCAGGGTCGACTGTGCAATGCTCAGTGAAAATGTAGAAATTTAAGAGCCACATCTCAGAATCCACAGGGCTCAGTATGTTAAAGGTTAAAGTTCATAACAGTAAAAAAAAAAAAAGAACAAGTATGGCTTGTTTGGAAGTGTTGACGGAAGAACATGGTAGGATAGCTTAGGCTGGCAAAGTGGCATTTGGACAGACCTAAAAGATTTCTGATGTAGCATCCTTTGGCCATAATGCACATACAATGTTTGTAAAAAACCAAAAACAGAATATCAACACAAACGTCTCAAAACAGCTGTCAAGCACGGTGGTGGAGGGGCGATGATTTGGGCTTATTTAGCAGCCACAGGACCTGGTCACCTGACAGTCATTAAGTCGACTATAACCTTAGGCTTGGCCGAAACTGGGACAGGACAATGATCTCAAGCACTGTGGAAAATCTACAACCGATTGGCTGAAAAGAAACGACTCAAGGTGTCCAGTAAAAGTCCAGATCTTACTCTGATAGAAATGTTGTGGTGGGACCTTAAGAGAACTGTGCATAAACAAATCCCTGCTAACCTCAATTAACTAAAGCAATTTCGGAAAGAAAAATTAGCCAAATTTGTCATACAGAGAACATTTACTTCAACTGCTGCTAAAAGTGGTTTTACAAGCTATTGAATCATGGGATCTACTTAGTATTTCCATAGGACCGCCCAGAGTCCCTAACCTTTAACATAACTGTAAATCTGTCAGAAAGAGGTTGTTTCCATTTCACTCATTCATCTCCAGCTTACACATTTGCTAACACACAAGACTTCTTTACATTTTTCCTTTCAGAGTCTTACTTACCAGTAGAGCTTAGAGCGTTCGATAAGCGTGTAGGTGTCTCCATCTCCAATGACCATATCACAGCTCATGCAAGTGAAGCATTCAGGATGATACTTTTGCTCTCCAGCAACCTGTTTATATGCAGGGCAGTAGTGTATGAAAAACATAATACAGATTTACCAGAACGCATTTATTTGGGCCACTCTGAACTGTGAAACACTCGAGCTGTTTCTGTTCATTCTTGCATAAAGGATGTTTTCAGAGGATATCCTCTAGCTTAGAGTCAAAAGAGAAAATAAATGCTTTCTTATCAGGAGGAAACCAAAAGTCGGGAAAGCTTTGAATTTATGAATAATTGGTGGAGCATGCTGAGATTTGGTATTCCATATTCTGTTTCTGAATATTATATAAAACTCTTTTTAACTTGTTAGTCTGAACAGCAGTAAGCTTTGAATGATCAATAAGTGGGATATTTTTAAACTAGTCCAATTGATTTGTTGCTGACACAGTTCAGACTGCTTTGGACTAAGTGAGTCAGACAACAGAGAGGGCAGCTAGTCAGGCTTTCATCTTATGAGCTTAGAAATCCATATATGCTAAAGTTTTGTAGCCAAGATTATTTAAAAAAAAAAAAAGTTCAGTGAGGAACTTGTGAATTATTTGTGTTCCAGAGGGATAGTTTCATCAGATCCATTTTTTTTTTTGTTAAAATTTTGAGTGATTTCGATGTTACCATTATGAGTCCTGTTGCAATGGTCTCCTTGCAACCGTGGCAGTGTCCTCCATAACGGCACCAGTAGTGCTTTTTACAATACAGCTGCCCCTCTCTTTCATAGTACCAGTGAGACAGAATACAGCCACATTCACAACACCTGCAGAGACAAGAGGGAAACGGAAGAATATGGCGTAACAGAGTGAGAAAGTAGAACAAAACCTGAGCAAAAACAAAAAAAGAAAAGATTTAGATATGCAGACAAAGTAACATGAGCCTAATCACGGATGGAAGATGTGGGACTTGAAATCCTCACAAAGAGTATCACATTTCAAGGCCTGTGAGACAACAGATTGCCTTCTGTTTAGCTCCTTTTTATGAACGCAGTATACGATTCCACTCACACTCTACTAATTTCTTCTCTTATGTTGGTTAACAATATGATCTGGTCACAAAGAGGCATCACGTTGCGGCATACACCCAAAGGAAATACACTTATCTTTACTTCTATGCTGACATCACCATGACAATCAGCCCGGGGTGACATTAATATTGGTTTTTACAAAAAAAAAAAGACTATTCATGCAAAGAGACTAGTCACATGTTTTCACAAAAACAATGTTCCCCATAGAGACACACCCACTCAAGATTGCACAACACAGCTGTTAAAAATTAAAATAGCATGCATTCCTTAAATGCAGAGCACGATGTTCAGTTTCAGGCCTTTAAAGTTTGCAGATTACAGTGAGACTCATAGTTACCTTGCTAAAGCAGAATAATACTATAGTGTGTACGATAAAGGCCCTGCTTCCTTATCTCTCCAACACTGCAGCCGGAGTGGGAGGTGACTTCCTGGGCTGAGTACTGGCCCATGTTTCCTCTCCCCTAACCTCATGCGGTAAATGCTTTGAATCCCTTTTTGTAAGAATAGCAAAAGGTTGTGTCATATTGAGAATAAAGCATAATACCTACAATAGTTTCTTTTAAAGGTTATCTTCATAATATGTTAAAGTGATCTTAAATCTTGCAAAACAACTTAAAGCCACTTAAAGATTCATTCTGCCGTTTTTGTTGTGGTTTTAGTATTTCGTCACAGAAAACTATAGGCAGCTCTTCCCCTTTGTGTTTTTGTTAACACCAAACAGCTAGTTTTGTTGTTGCTGATAGAGCAACACGTTGCTTCTTCAGTGTGCACACCCTCACATGTGGGATCTCTTTTTTCTGACAGCACTGTAGGAAGTGCTGCTAGAGACCAAGATTCGCTTCTCCTTCATTGCTAAGGAAATAATTAAGCAATAAAGCCATCAGACCGCTGCAGGTTTATTTTCGACCTCCTGTCTTTGTTACTGTGCTCCAGGCCACAGATGTGGAACCTTCCAGCTTCACATCTGCGATTCCGCTAAAGCATCTGGTTGCAAGAAAACCTGGAATCAGTTCAGCAGTTTCTACTGCCCGCCCCCTCATCCATCTCTCCACATTTCTCTTTGGTCACCTGAGTGTTTTCCTGCCATTAATAAAAATCCCCTTTGTTCTCGTGTCTCTAAAGAAGTTATGACGTCAGAACTGAACCTCGGTCAGATGTTAACAATCTCATGACGTTTTCTCCTACCACCGTTTCCTCCATGTTCTGTACGTTGGTATGTCGGACTTCCTTTAAAAAAAAAAAAATAGCTCTTAAAAGGATTTTTTTTTAAACTGCTTGTGTCACGCTGGATGTTTCACATATTTCTTTATTCTAAATAAAAGACTTTGAATGCTAACACTTAGGTTTTGGCCTGAGGAACAGGGATGGTTACAGAGTAAACAAATTATAATTTTTTTTGTAACTTGCGGAAATGTGCTTCAACATGCTTTTTTGTTATTGTGAACATTAGAGCAAAAACAACCTCCAAAAAAACCAAACCTCAAGTGTTATTTTTTTGGCAGACTTCTGTTTGAGGAAGTATACATGCAGACGTTTAGAAGTTTCCCTATTTATTTATTTATTTTTTCTCTTCCTTTGACTCACTCTTTCATACGCTTCCTCCCCTTTCTCTCACTCTTACGCGTATCTCACTGAATAAAGATTTCAGTCCTTACCGTCCTTTTGTGCCTCGCCGAAACCTCTGGTCCCGTCGTGACATTCTGCCTTGCCAGTTAACCGACAGACAGCTGTCAAACACAGTCCACCCAGTTCAGAAAGGAGCTTGTTAGCAGCATGTGATTGTGAGCGGATCATATACACCTACTCCGCTGTGACTGATGGCAGGCGTTGCCTTTCTCTCTCCATGTGTTCAAAGGCTTCCTGTGTGAATATGAGTTCCCTTTCGAATGCGAAGAGAAGCTGTGTGAGAAAAGAGTCTGACCCACTGACACCAGCTGGCCAGTTTCCCCCTGCTGGCTGCTGAGAAACAGACCAATCCTATAAGAGACGCCCTCCCTCACCCTCCCCTCTCCTGTTATGTCCAGCATGTAGACCTCTGCAAGATATAGTTACACTCTTCTGCAGAGTCCAGCAAGTTTAGGAGAGTTAAACTCACAACCTAAATGAGTGCTTATGTGATAAGTGGTCTGAGACGTGTTTTGTGTGTGTGTTTTGAAATAAGCCCCGTTCCCATCAGTGCAGGCATAATCTCTTTATGAATGCCCCAATTACTGCACTGTCCAGATCCTGCAGTAAAGAACTCCATTCATCACACACAACGAACAAAGAGGGAGAAATTAGTTAAAGCATAACTGTGGGGAACAGCTCAGAACAGACAAACAAATCCATTGATAGTGTTCAGCATCAACCTCTCAAACCAAAATTATGACCTAATGTACTTTAAATTTGTTTTGCTGTAGGTTTCCTGCAAACAGTCCTGTCAATTCAGTAACTTCAGACTAGCTGTGCTATATGTCTGCATATGCATTTTTTTTTGTAAATTGTCCAGGCAAATCTGCACTGCAGACAGAAAAGCAGAAACAGGTGTAGATATATGGAGGAGACCCTTCTGTCACAAAACTGATACTGTCACAGATTTATGCGACTTTCAGTTACCGTTTCTCTTTCATTTGCATCCTCGGTTGTTTTTCTCATGCCCGAGTAAGTCATTGCATCTCTGTAAGCTGCATAATGAACAAATTAATCAGCAAAACCTTGTGTGAGTATTGCTCATAATAAATATTTTTACCAGGCTTCAGTGTTGTAAAACTTCCAGGCAGCATGACGCACAGCACTACAAAACTATATCCAGTTGTTCTTGTCCTCCTTCTTTTTTAAACCAAAGAAGCTAGTTTGTGTTAAATGTTGCTTCTTTTGTGATATTTCATGTAAAAGGCAAATACTTACATGAGCTGCGAGTAGAATAATTTTATCTAACAACGCTATAGAAAGTGCTGTTAAGACTTTAGGGTTGCTTCTCGTCACTGGTAAGGAAATAAGTTAAGTATGATTGTACCATCCTAGGGTAGCACGGTACTGCGGTAGTTAACACTGTCACACAGGAAGAGGGTATCTGGTTTCAACATGCTCGTCATCAGGGACCCTCTTCTATGGAGTTTACACGCTGTCCCTGCGTCAGCATGGATTCTTTCCAGGTATTCCGGTTTCCTTTTACAGTTCAAAGTCACGCATGTTTGGTTAGGTTGTGATTCCAAATTGGCTGAATGTGTAGCTCAGCTGTAGAGGGGAGAGGTGGAGCTGGTTCAGGGAGCAGTGCCAAGCGAGGTGAGTGACACACCTGTTGCACATGAGCTAATCGCTGCTGGGAGACGCTGTGCAGTAATTGGCGAAGGTACTGTGTGGACGGTTTGGGAGAAACTAGAGAAGAACATTATAAAGAAGAACGTCCACTGAGCCTGGCTCGACAGCAGGGCGCTGGAAAATAAATTGGTCTGTTTAAACTGAAGAAGCTGTGTTGACTTTCTATGATGAGGGAGACTCACAATTGACTGAGCCTCGTGTCACAGAATATGAGCAGTGCAATAGACCGGTAACTTGGATGGCCAATGCTTACTCCTGTCCTTAGACTCCAATAGATGTTCCCTAATTCTAGTCACATTTTGAACTGTACTTTTAGGATACCTATTACTATTTAAACTAAACTGATGTAGTTGCCCCATTAGCTGAAACAACAGTTTCATTTTAAGATTTTACTAGTAATTGAAAAGCAGCCTAATGCACCTTTAAAGTGTCCTTGAATCCATTTCTAACCCAAACAAAGAGCAGAAACTTGGCTTTGTATGCACATTGTTCCTACTCAGGTTAGAGTGCAGTGGGATGCCAAAATGGCTTCAAAGCCCCCCTTCATTTGACTTTAAGGCCCAATCAGTTATGTAACCAACATCACTCAAAACCCTTGTCTATAGCCCACAACAATGACTGTCTGCACTGACAATTACCAACTTGTTGTGACGCTTGACCTGCATTACCAAATTAAGGAGCGGAGACTTTTAAAATAACTTGTCAAGTCTGCAGAGTTGTCACGCTGGCACTTTATCACTAACTGATGTTGACTCGGCAGTACCCAATCTCAATCAGCACCCAAACATGCACTGCAGCTCTTCATAATAGTTGTCTTGTTTTAAAGTTTGTACAGCATCAACAACTAATTGTTCACTCTTCATATGAGTCACCACGTACACAAAGCTTCACTGCTGTTCTGCATTTTTTTATACTCCCCGAAGCCACAGTTGTCTGTTTCCTTTCTCAATACAGCATACCTTGTGGCTTAACCCACCACTGTTCAATATGCTAAAAAACCAACATCTACTTCTAGATGTTGAGCTTCCTCCTCTTGCCAAGTGGTACTCCAGTAGCAATAAAATAATGACACAAAGAAGTCGTCATTGGTCATCTCTTTACTTCGGAGAGCATTGTCAGAGAGTTTACAAAAGTGCATAATTTTCTTCATAGGCCACATAAAAAAAAGAAACACAGATGTTAAAAATCACACTGAGCTCGAGATGCACATGAGCTCAAATGCAAGACGAGATTCACTCACCCCACTTTTGACCCACTGACATCACAGACTGCACTGTGATTCAGCACACATTCAAGGACAATGTAGAAAACAAAGCACTTATACTCATCATAGTAGTACACAAGTTTAAAAACTGTAAAAACACACACACACAGAATGACTAACTCAAATATTTTAGTACTGTAATAATGCACTTGACTTTGTAAAATGAGGCTAAATACAGTTCTCAACATAATTTAAAAAGTCTAGTAAACGTGAGCAGTTTCCCCAACAGTGTTAAAGGAGGTTCATGAACAGAAGGAAAACGCAGTAATCAGTACTCCTCGGATGTCATGTACTCTAGTCATATTACCTCACATTTAGCTTGAATGCTTACCTCAACAGCAAATGTAAAAGCTAAAACTAAGCCCATTCAGAAAGTCAGGACAAATACACCCTCCTAACAATCAAAATATATGCACGCTAACCAATATTTTACATTTATACCATTGAGTGTGATGTGGCTATAAAACAGTGCCATTAAGTTGTGAAATGAGTGGAAGAATCTTACACCACTTGAGGTGGGCCTCAAGTGGTATCTGTGAGAATCCTCAGGCTCCATTACTGATACTACTGAGGCCTGAGTACAGCTCACATGGCCAGAGACTGCTTTTCAAGGATCAAAAGACTACCACTGCTGCATAAAATACTGCCTTCATCTTCTCCTGTGACAGCAGCTGTTTGTCTCTGTGTCTGTACACACTACTTGTTTGTCCACTGATGTAAAAGATGCTAACAGTGAATTATCTGCTCAGCCATTCACTCTGCAGACATATCCCAGTTTAACTGGGTAAAAGTGTTGCCCTATATTTCTTTACACATCGTGTCAGCATGCAGACAGGTCTGAAGGAGCTGCCCTGAGGGAGTCCTTGGTGTCAGTCTTAACCCAGAGGATTTGTGCCAATACTTGCATAAGAACACAAATGATAATCAACACAGCAAAGACAGACGAATGAAAAGAAATGCTGATTCTTCACTGTAGTGGTTCTCAACCCGATCATCAGGAATTTCTGGGGTATTCTACCCACGTTATTTTATTTTTGAAACTTTCTTGAGAAATTGACATTTACTAATTTGACCAAAATAAAATGACTTAATTATCCAAAAAAGGAAAAAAAAAAGTATTTAACAAAGGGAAACAGCAATCTTCACCTGGCGGTGAATCTGATCCGGTTGAGAACCACTGCAACCATTTATAAAACCCAAGCAAATGGAAATGTAAAAAGCGGGATGTGCTGAAGCTTCAGCTTCTGTGGCAGGTAAGACATCTACAGTGTGGGATCATGCAATAGCACCACTGTTGTTTTAATGAGGTCACTTCCTGTCTTTTGGTCTTTCTCACTTCCTCCTACGGCCAGCTCCTAAAAAGCGGAACAAAGGCAGCGTTATTCTTCACTTTACATGCAGTATGCGGATTGTTTAAATAAGACTTAACACTGTTCATTCAGACCAACATAAAATGACAACTGTTAAATCCCACTTTATACTAACTCAGAATAGCTTCCAGGACATATTTCCTCAGTTTGTTGGGTCAAATGTTTATTTCCTACACAGACACAGAGTTCCTGTATTTGTGGGTGTTACCAATATTTGCCAATTTTGAGCATGTCACTTCTGTAGAATAATTTTTTGGATCAGAGGAAACTCACAGAGGAGTCTGGCAATTTACTCTAGAAGCTACTCTCGGTTTTTTATTAATTGAAAGTCTATCCCATCCCACAAAGATTACAGCCACACACAAAAAACATGACATGACTTTTCTTAAACCCTTAAAATGTATTACTAGAGGGTGAGTTTGATCTCCCAGTTGGTTGAGTCCTTAGCTAGTTTTTAGTCCAGAGGTGGTTTGTAGTTATGTTTGTATTTAGGTTACAAAGTTGCTTGTTTGTAGCAACATCAACATGAAATCTTATCTTGCCTGCAGTCTCAGTGTAGCTTCACTGTGATTCTGGAGAGACCAAGTTGTAAACTACAACTTGATTGGTTCGCAGAGGCTTACACCTTCGAAGCAAAAATGTTATTTTTAACTAAAAAGATTAATTCTGGTCAGAGTTCAGTGTCAGGTGAAGGAGGTGAGGACGTTGTCCTTGTCCTTCCTCGCATGTAGCACATGGCAGGAGGTCGTCAGCTTCAGATTGCTTTCAAATAATTTGCTGGAAAATGTTCAGTTTGCTTTAGATTAAGTTGCTGCCTGGACAGAGCATGTATGAGCAATGCACAAGCTAACCACTTCGCTATGGATTCAGTGGACCTGTGCTATTCTCACATCAACACAAATTGTTGCATATTTGGATATCACAGGACTTTGTACTGGGGAGCTGGCAGGCCAAAGACCATTTAATATCCGGTCTAGTATGCGTGTGAAAATAATTACAGTGTATATTGGGAGGTCCGGTAATCTTACTTATGTTTTTTTTTTTAAATTTCCTTTCAAGTTGCAACACATGAAGAAGAACATATCATCGCTATGAGTCCTAAAATGAATGTAAATCACATCTTCTTACTATATGATAGATAATCTGTCTGTCCGTATGTTTGTTTCTTTGTCCACAAACTCCTGCTAGATAATTAGGAGTTGAACAACTAAACATGACACATAGATACATCTCAGGCTCATGAAGGTCTTTATCTATATCGGATATTACAATGTCATCATGTTGCCTTGCAACCATCTAGCAAAGGGCTAAGATGATCCTTTTTAACCCTTTTGCACCTTATAAAACCTTATAAAAACTTTGTATTATTATTATTTGTCAACACTATTATCTAATCAACAGAAGTGAGGCTAAAGATTGTATTGCATAGGAAATGCGGTGATCAGGACTGTTATGATATGTCTATGACTTTTACCTCTGTAGCCCCTGGATCCAAGTAAACCCTGCATGGCTGCATATTTGGCTGCCTTCTGCGCTTTAGCTGAAGGTCATGATAGTAAAACAAACAAACAAACAAAAACAAGAAAAGAGTTTAGATACTTAGTTGTCAGTAGATATTAAAAAAGCATGCATGTTACAATCAGAATTATCCTTGATATATTATATTTCACTAACAAGATAAGCAAAAGTAATATGTTCATCAGATCTGTGTATCTTTGTGTTAATGCTAGACCAGCGTTGTTCATTTGGACGTGCTTATTCCAGAGGACACAGTGAGTTTTCTTACATTTTTGTCCAGCCCCTGCATACCCTAGAGAACAATAACAGGAAAGATAAAGTCATAACAAACAACTGATACCTTACAATGGACTTTTTAAAAAAAATCTCAGAATAACACTGCTTTCTGTTTCCTGTTATTCTCAGGGGTTTTTTTTTGTATGATTTTACTAAAATGTGTATGCTGAGTATTAAAAAGGACATATGTGATCAAATCTGTCTCACCTGGATAACTTCCTATACCCAGCCCACCATATCCAGGACCAGCAGCACCTCCTGGAAGAATAAAAACATTACAGCTTTCAAAGCACTTCTTATCTGTGCCATGTTTACAGTGCAGTGCTATGAATTTTGTTGATTTTGATGTTTTGAAATATATTAAAAGCACATTCTCATTATGCTAATGACTATATTTTCATATAAACTGACCTGGTCCCCCACCAGGTAGTCCTCCAACTCCTTGGCCAGTTCCTCCAGGACCTCCTAGCCCTCCTGTACCTCCTGCTATGCTACCTAAACAGATAAATGGGTATGAATGAGAGACAAGTTAACTTTTTAATCAACATGGGGATATAAGCAAAGGCCCAAATGAACGCTGTTGTACCCAGTGGATTAGTGGCACTTGGGAGAATTTTTAATGTAAAATAAACCATCTTATTTTTATTACCAGTTATTACCAGTATTATTACCAGAGACTACAGATCTTTAGAGAGAACTGACACACCTCAAGTTAGTAACTAATAAAAGTTTTATCTCAGTCAAATTTTCACATGTCTGTTGTCTCTTTATTATAATGTGCTGTGTGCTAAACGTTTACTTGACTTTATAAACTGGAACCTCACCTTGGCCACCACCAGTGACGCCTCCTGTCCCAGTACCAGGAAGAACTCTGACACCACCTCCTAATGAACAGTGATGTGATTAAATTACATAAATGACAAATAATACAACAATACATATGTTTCCATAGAGCAACGTGAAACAACAAGTTAAACAGTGAAGCAGACTGAGCTGTAGTCCACGTTTATTAAAGGAATAGGATATTTGGTCTTTCAAATAATCATAATGGTCCGTCATACATTACAGTTTGTAACTGTAAAGAGAACTCCTTTGTCTAAGGTTACTTTCTGACAAGACTTTAATGCAACGACAAACACAAAGTGTGAGATACTCCCTCCATAGAATCCCACCACATAGCAAACCAAACCATATGATTCAGTTCCTGTTGCTTTTTGCTGCTGTTTACTCCTATGCATGATTTAATGTGGTGTTGATCCAGTCAAAAAGTCAACTTCATGCATTCAGTTGGTTAAATTGGATTAGTTTAAGTGTCTCTCTGAATTAATTTACATTAAGTTTGTGCAAATGGTAGTGCTTTGAATGTAGAGGGTCTGATAAGAAAATATATGAATTGCTATCAAATGCTTCTAAGTATATCTCAGAATTTTACCTGGTCCGTAGCCAGCTCCACCCAGCGACGAGCCGTAACCTGATTTAGACGGCTTTCTTGTTCCAAGTGTTTGGCCAGAAGGTCCAAAACCACCAGTCCCAGCACCTCCAGGGCCAAAGCCACCAGTCCCAGCTCCTCCTGGGCCAAAGCCCCCAGTCCCAGCACCTCCTGGGCCAAAGCCCCCAGTCCCAGCACCTCCAGGGCCAAAACCAGTCCCAGCACCTCCTGGCCCAAAGCCCCCAGTCCCAGCACCTCCAGGACCAAAACCAGTCCCAGCACCTCCAAGGCCAAAACCAGTCCCAGCACCTCCTGGCCCAAAGCCCCCAGTCCCAGCACCTCCAGGGCCAAAACCAGTCCCAGCACCTCCTGGCCCAAAGCCCCCAGTCCCAGCACCTCCAGGGCCAAAACCAGTCCCAGCACCTCCAGGGCCAAAACCACCAGTCCCAGCACCTCCAGGGCCAAAACCACCAGTCGGAGCACCTCCAGGGCCAAACCCACCAGTCCCAGCACCTCCTGGTCCAAAACCTCCAGGACCTGTACCCCCAGCTCCACCAGGGCCATATCCTCCTCCTAATCCTCCTCCTGGAAGACAAGTTAAAATATATTTACACAGTTATAAACCATATAAATATCTAAAACAACCATTAACCTCCCTACTCCAAACGAAACCCTTACCTGTTCCATAACCAGCTCCCCCATAACCTGGAAGAAACAATGAAAAAACCTTTGATAAAACATTTGTTTGCTGGCTGCATTTCTTATATCATGAAACCTCCATTAGGTATCTCCATTAGTATATGATCTAGCTAATGATCTTATTTATGTAATCCTTGCTTACCAGATTTATAAGGTTTTCTTTTTCCTTGGCCTGCCTGTCCAAATCCTGTTCCTGTTCCAACACCGCCTGGTCCGAACCCTCCAGTTCCAGTGCCAGCCCCACCTGGTCCAAACCCTCCAGTTCCTGTGCCAGCTCCACCGGGTCCAAACCCTCCAGTTCCTGTGCCAACACCGCCAGGTCCAAACCCTCCAGTTCCTGTGCCAGCTCCACCGGGTCTAAACCCTCCAGTTCCAGTGCCAGCTCCACCTGGTCCAAACCCTCCAGTTCCAGTGCCAGCTCCACCGGGTCCAAACCCTCCAGTTCCAGTGCCACCACCGCCTGGTCCAAACCCTCCAGTTCCAGTGCCAGCCCCGCCTGGTCCAAACCCTCCAGTTCCAGTGCCAGCACCGCCTGGTCCAAACCCTCCTGTACCTGAAATTCAGGCATAACTTAACTGGTAACCCTATCACATTTTTAATGAAAGCAAAAATAGTTTTACCAGGATGTGGTGTACTCTATCTGGAAGTTTTGTGTTTAAAAGTTCTTTTTATTATATTTATACCTGCCTCAGAGAAGAAGCCTCTGAAATAAAAAGCATCATGTTGGTTTTAATTAGAAGTGCTGAGAGTATAAGAATTGGGTTATTGACATCAATCACAGCTACATGTTTCGCTAATAACAACCTACATTTAGATTTGTGTACTTCCTTTACTCTTAAGAACTTGAAAGAACTGGACTTCTTTAAGTTATTTAAAGAAGTTAATTCAGAACTGAAGAAGCCTCTTGGATGAGAGGTGAAACTTCTTTAAATAGTTAACAAAGTCCAGTCGTCTTCTTTCGAGCTCTTAAAAATACCATGGTGCCTGAGAACTTGCACAGATGAAGTGCATATTTTATCATAACACACAACAGTGAAGGTATCACCACTTGTTATTTATTGCCTTTCAAACAACAGTATGTACATATATGTAATGGCTAGCAGATGGTGATTTTTTTTTAATATATAGACAAAGAACTGACAAAAACGCACTTCACAAGTGATTAAGTATAAATTCTCACCGTGTCCAAAGCCAGCTCCACCTAGTGAGGATGATCCATAGCCTGTCAATAGAAGTTAACAGCTTGAGTATAGCTTATAAAATATTTTCCTAATCATTTTTAATTTTGTGTCTTTACATCAGCATAATGAAAAGAAGAACTGCAGGATTTTAAACAGGAGACAAACATGCAGCAAATTGTCCCAGCTTGGATTTGGATCAGGGGTCTGCTTTTTAGAGTTCTAGTCCTCTGACCACTCAGCTGTCGGGTTCATATATATAATACTTTATTGAATGTTGTTAGTCATAAATAGTTGCTTATTATACCTGATTTAGGTGGTTTTACTACTCCACCAGGTCCATAGCCGCTTGGTCCTGTGCCAGCACCACCTGGTCCTATACCACCTGGCCTTGTTCCAGCACCACCCAGTCCGGTCCCAGCACCTCCGGTCCCAGCACCACCAGGACCAGTGCCACCAGGCACAAGGCCACCTGGTCCATAACCTATTCCCCCTGGTCCAGTCCCATAGCCACCAGGTCCAAACCCAGTACCACCAGCTCCTGCTCCATAGCCTAAAAATCAAATATTTTAAATGTTTAGTTTCAGTTTTCTCTATACTTCCTTTATGTAGGTTTACTCTGTGTGTTCACTTCATTATACTTTTAGGTGGTTTTCCAGTGCCGGTACCCAGTCCTGGACCTGTGCCATATCTAGAACCTGGTTAACAGAGCATTTATAACTGTTAATACTAATAGTTATAAACTATTTAAATTAGATATTTTTGATCAATGTAAACTCACCGTCAGGTCTAACACCTCCCCCAGGGCCTACTCCTGTTCCTCCTGCTCCTACGCCACCATAGCGTCCAGGTCCAGTTCCATATCCACCAGGCCCAGTACCATATCCACCTGGACCGGTTCCATAACCTCCAGGCCCTGTGCCATAACCTCCTGGACCAGTGCCATATCCACCGGGGCCAACCCCACCTTGGCCCCCTGCTCCAAGAGTCCCATATGCTGATGGAAAGAATAAACACACTGAATGGACTTTGTAGCATCTCTCATAGCTAAAGATTAAACAAAAAGTCTTCATTTAAAAAAGGAGAACATAATTTCTCAGTTTATAAACCTTTGCCTGGTTTTGTTACTCCAGCTCCAGTAGGGTAACGAATGCCTGTGAGTGAAAAACAAAAATATTCTCAAATGTGGGTTGTTAAATTTGCTGGGATTTAGATGTTAAAGATAGTTTTAGGTAGCGCACCTCCCCCTGGTAAAACTCCAGTACCATAGCCTGTAATAGAAAAATGTGTGAAGTGCATAAACTGGGATTCATTATGTTATTGTATTATAGGAATTTAAGTTTAGCGTGGATACACAAACATTTGAGGACCAAAACATGAGTGCAGCTCACCTCCTGTTCCTACTGCACCAGGCCCACCAGCCCCAGGTACCAAACCACCTCCTCCAGGACCTCCACCCACTGCTCCAGGACCTCTTCCTGCAGATCCAGGACCACTTCCCACTCCTACTCCCACTCCTCCCTGTCCACCACTTGTGCCTCCTGCTATAGGTTTATACGCTATAGTTTAAAAATGTGAAGACATATTAGATGTTTTCCTTCAGTGTGTGGTGTTTTTTATACTTCATGACTGTTTGTTGTAATATTTGTTAGTCATGGCAAGTTGCACACACTGTCAAGAAGTTGGATAGTTAGTTAAAAGGCACAAGTGGCACCTTTAGGTGGTTTTGGTGTTGCTCCAACTGCACCTCCTGAACCAACACCTGTTCCAGTAGCAGTGCTGCCTTCTCTTCCTGTTGATACACCATCTGAAACACTTCCTGCAACTCCTGCACTGGTGGGACCCCTTCCTACTCCTCCCTGTCCACCTGTGCCAGCTGTACCACCCCTGTATCCATCAGGGCCTCCTTCTCCATCACCTTCACCTGGTGTGTCACCTCTGGGGACACCTGCAGACAGAACATAGATGATGTGAGTGTTCACCACCATTGCAGCTGATATGACCTTTCTCTTTACAGTCTTTATTCAAAATGGTAGCTATTTTTCCTTTTAGTCTCACTTCTAGTCTTTTCCTATTGCTAATCTTATGATTTGAATCTGTGATCAGTATAACTAAGTAATCCCTAAACTTAATTTGTAATTGATTATTTTTATCCTGTTTTAATCACCTGGGGGTTTGAGGGGTTTGACTCCAGTCAGATCACCACCAGAACCTGTAAAAGGCCAGATTTGAGAAATAATATTAATTTGTGAATAACTTTGCAAGAAACACATCAAAGAAATGCTGTGCACTGCATCTTGCTTTCACCTGTAGGGGGAAGTCCTGTCCCACCTGAATTTTAAAGAGAAATGTTCAAGAGAGTTGCCAGTGTAAATATGACACAGCAGTGTTTGCTGATATCTTTGTATCTTTCAGAAATCTGCGAGCCACATATAGGCCTACTTACCAACACCTGCACCAGCTGTTTGAAACCAGAAACACTGGTAAGTAAAATCCTGACAGCACTTATTTAAACTTTAGCCTGACAGTTTATGGAGGTTTACATACCACTTGGTTGCGCAGCTCCACCACCGACTGTAAGAACAGCAGTACAGATTTATTTGTAAAAGCATAAATCAGAAAAAGTTAAGCAACATATGAATGAATTTGTTTCAATTTGCAGCTGTTAACTGGTGTCAGTCTGCCATGCAGTATTCTCTGGTACTCTCAGGTAAACCAGTGACAGCCGTGACAGCATTTGAGTGGAGAAATAACGTGAGCCACATCAAAAAGGAGTCAGTGTGTCACTGCATGCTCAGTTTTATATTCAAATGCACATGCTTTTTCAATCTCTAAAGTCAAGTACTGTTTAGAATGAGATCTGCTTTCCTTCAAATAAGATCTCAGTGTTAATTATTTATACTAACTTACCAGGGGTCACGCCTGTGGATCCTATGGAATGTAGGAAGAAAGCTATTAGTTTAACTGTTATAAATTCAAAGAAGAGAAGTGGACTTGCTGTTCCCTCACAGATGTTGGATGCTTTGCAGTTAGAATATATTTCGATGTCCCCTAAAATGTCACCAGTGTTTTAACTCTAATCTTCGTGACCATTAGATTTTGCTCAGTAAATAAAGTTCTCACATCAGGAAATTGTATTGGCACTTTACTGATCTGTAATTACACACCCCTAATGCTTTGTAACACTTAATAGGACACAAAGATATTTATTGCTTGCTGTAATCAGTTCATTCAAGTTTTTGGATTTTGAGAGTTGTCATCTACTGCAGGTTTGGTAGGTGTGAAAATACTGCAGCCAGTTTACACTGAAGAATATCAATAATAAAACATGAAATAAAGAAAAGAACTTAATTTGCTATTGCACACATACACTGGGTGTGTCACACAAGACCATCAACAAAGCAATGGTGTACAAATACAAAACAAAATGTGCACTAAAGCAAAGTAAGGGGCACAATTTTATATGTAGACAATATTATCTTAAGTATAAAGTACACTATTTACCACATCGCACTCAGATTACTATAATCTGAATATATTTATCTCTTCTGTCTTTCTGTCCGTAAACATGATGGCTCAGTGTAGAGTGGGGTTATCTTAACCATCCATTAAAATTTGGCTTGCATCCACCAAGATCTTAAAAATCAACTCAGTGATTTATTGGTTGAAAAAAGCTGTATAACTTAAAAACCATAACTCTTAGAAGTGTGGTGTCTATTGTCAACATATAGAGTACCATATAAAGATTTAAAATATCATCCCACATTTGACCTCTGACCTCTCATTCAGTTTCAATAGGTTGATCACAAACTCAAAGTGACTGTAAAGCTATAAAGAGCTATTTAAAACAGTGATTCTTACTGCCATCGTTTGTACTGACAGCATAAGAGCATATAGGGATGATACATGGGGATTGTAAATGTCATGTTATTTTGGACCTCTGAGCTCTTTTTAAACTTCAATTACGGTCAATCTTTCATAAAATGTCTTTTATCTTTAAAACGATGCTTTCTACTGCCGTTTGTTTGCATTGGCAACATTTAGGGCATATTCCCAGTTTTATATTTTACATCTTCTTTCCTTTCAAGTTGACCCCAAACTTTTTTTTATCTTTCAAGAAAGTATTTTCAGAGTTTCTGCACTCAAAGTTAACATTGGATACCCTTACCTGATTTTTACTGCACTACAAACATCTTAAAGTACATTTAAAAAGAATTTAAAAAGCAAAATAGATATCTATATTATACAATGCAATTCCCTCAAAAGTAAATGCTGCGCTGGCTTGGTGGACATTTGCTCTCATGGAGTGCTTGTTGTTTTAGATCTACTAGTCTGTAATATTATTTATTTGCTGATTAGTAACTGGATGAAATTTGTTGGAGAAAAGATTAAAAATGTTTTAGTAATGGTTGAATATGTTGGTCAAAATCTGAATTTGTGGCAACCATGTTGTATACTTCAAATGGCCACATGGTGGCACTGTCCACCCCCAAATCTAAGAAATCCAGCTCTTTTGATTCACAACAAATGTAGCTGAAATCTGTATAATGACTTGAACAGGAAAGCAGTGAAAGACAAAGACACAGCTACTGATACACAGAAATGGATAAATACAGAATCTCTGACCTGGAAGTGTTGTCCCGTTGATTCCTGTTATATACAGATAGTTTAAATAACATAAATTGAAGTAATACTGCTTAGATGACAGAAAGTTTCAACTAATATACAACTTTTAAACTAATACTGGTATTTCTGAAACACGTGGTTCAACCAGTAACTAAGTAATTATGATATGCATATATCTATATCTCTGTAGCATGAATGGCCAAAAATACCTGGCTTGGGTCCAATGATGGGGATTCCTGTTCCACCTAGACGATCTCCATCACTCCCTGTACCCGCTGGTCTGCCACCGACACCGGTACCTCCTGTTTTAATAATTATGTAGGAATCTTTTCACATCTGAAAGCTTATTTCGAACAAATATTTACAAAGGTTTCTTTTTGTTGTTGTTTGTTTTTTTGTGTTGCTTCTTTGTTTGTGCACCATCTTCAGCAACCATCAGAATTCCTGACCTGATTGATTGTGAGAATTGTCATATGCACAAAAGTCTGTGGATGATTTCAACATAAGAAAATGTTCTCAAGAATCCAGAGAGTTTCACACACCCTCTCCACCGGGACTTCCAGACCCCTCTATCACAGTGTAAATATCATCACCTGAAACAAGGACAGAATAATAAAAGGACTGAGATTAGAAACTAGCACTCCATGTAATGTCTGGAATGATTAGTAATATAAATTTAAATAGCCAAATAAAACGTGTTTGCATATTGATTGTGTGTGTTTGCTCTAACACTGCACAGATACCTTCTGATGCCGGAGTTGGTGTGCCTCTTGTGTCTTCAAGTCTTCCTCCTGATCCAGCAATAGACAATTGAACTCGTAAATTGTGAAAATGATAGTTAACTGTAATATGATTTTTGTTATCCTTAGCACAGAGGCTCACCACTTGGTCTGGTTGTTGTCTGATTGGTGCCAGTGGTGGTTCCATTCGCTGAAACGCCAGGGCCGGTCCCTGTTCCTGCTCCTGTAGTGCTGGTTCCAGTTCCTGTCCCAGGTACAACTCCACCAGGTTGCCCTACAGATTATAAAAGAGGTAAATTCAAAAGAGGTGCTTAAAAAGTTTATTCATTATTTTCCACTTGACACAGACTTGTCAGACTACACCTTACCAAACTTTGCAACTTTAGATCCAGCCGTGCCGTAGCCTGAGGATCACAACAAATCAGATGTGGTTAAAAAAAAAAAGTAAAAAACATAATTTTAAGTAAACATTAGAAACAACAGGAATAGTGAGTATGTAGCTCGTTGTATATTACTTTTCTTGAATGGAATGATTTTTTTGTACCTAATTTTCCGTGCTAACTTTGAAACAAACAAACAAAAAGAAATGAGCAACTAATATTTTAGCTTTTAATAACCCTTGGAGCACTCCAAGTACTCCACCTGTGCCAGCTCCACCTGGGCCTTCATCAAAATCATATGAAGATATTTTCACCATTATTCACAAAGTAAGAGAATTCAGTTTGAAAAAAACAAAACATTCATACCATATTTAGCAGGTTTTAATCCAGGTCCATAACCTGCAAATACACATAAAAAGTTTCATTTTAAAGATTCTAAAGAGCTACAATCAGAAATGTCTAACAAAATTATCATTGCTTCCTAAACCTGGTCCAAATCCAGTCCCTGGTCCTAGACCATAACCTCCACCTGGTCCATAGCCTGTGCCAACCCCAGGCCCATAACCACCAGGTCCATATCCTCTTCCAGTCCCTGGGCCCGTGCCACCACCAGGAAGACCTAGGAAGGTTCAAAAGTGTGTGAGTAGTTTATCTATAACAAAAGCTTAAAATATCTTTAAAAAGAAAAACAATTTCTAACCATGGAAATATTTTAAATATTGTTGCTGTTTAAAATTTATATAAAAAATGATTTCATTCTAATTGACTGATTATAATTCCTACCAAAATCTGATGTAAGAAACTTAAAATTATTGCCTTCATTTAAATATAAAATTACATTATATTTTGAACTCTTCCTGTGTTAATGCTCATGTATATTACATGTGTTCATGTGATGTATTTTAGGTTAGTTTGCACCATATTTCGACTTGGGTCCCTCTGCATATCCTGTGAGATAAGCACGAGGGGACAAATCCTTTAAAGCTAAGTGTATCATATTTAGAACTATAAGAGAGGCGTTTCATGTCTGTACCTCCAGCACTGCCTGGTCCAAATCCGCCTGGTCCAACTCCTGTCACAACACCAGACCCCGGTATACCACCTGCCCCGAGTCCTAGTCCCGTTCCACCACCTGTTGACACTCCACCCCGTCCGGGAACCCCTACTCCAACTCCAAGCCCAGAACTAGGCCCGGTTCCTCCTCCAAGGCCTCCTGCACCAAGGGCACCTCCAGTACCTCCAGGAACACCTGCAAAGAGTAGGATTTTATGAGAAAACAAAAACTTGTCAGATCCACAGACTTGTCAGATGTCAAAACTAAAGGTGTGATTAGTAACATTCATTAGAAGTGCATAGTTGTGTGAGTTCAGGTGGATATTCTGATATTCTCTATACATATATTTTATGAAATTGCAAATTTACTGTAAAGATCATCAGACATTTAGTAGGTTGTTTCTTACCATATTTGCGCGCTTTGGCTCCAGCATAACCTGCAAACGCATCAGCATTAGTTTTATATTAGACGGTGGACCCATTTTAATTCTGACATGGCTCCTTATTTCTCTTCTATCATACCTCCAGGTCCATAGCCAGCACCACCGGGTCCAACTCCACCTGGGCCATAGCCAGCACCACCGTGTCCAACTCCACCTGGGCCATAGCCAGTCCCAACTCCACCTGGCCCAACTCCACCTGGGCCGTAGCCAGTGCCAACTCCACCTGGTCCAACGCTGCCTGGACCGTAGCCAGTGCCAGCACCACCTGGTCCAACTCCACCTGGGCCATAGCCAGTGCCAGCACCACCTGGTCCAACTCCACCTGGGCCATAGCCAGTTCCAACTCCACCTGGTCCAACTCCACCTGGTCCAACTCCACCTGGGCCATAGCCAGTTCCAACTCCACCTGGTCCTACTCCACCTGGTCCAACTCCACCTGGGCCATAGCCAGTGCCAACTCCACCTGGCCCAACTCCACCTGGGCCATAGCCAGTGCCAACGCTGCCTGGGCCAATGCCGCCTGGGCCAACGCCGCCTGGGCCAACGCCGCCTGGGCCATAACCAGTTCCAGCACCACCTGGCCTTAGTCCTCCAGTACCTGTTCCTGGACCTCCAAGAGCCCCACTTAACATGCCTTTCAGGAGAAAATGGTTAACTTTTAGCTGCTTTGATTTATTTTGATGAATAATCTATAATAAATAGATAAATTATGTCTTACCATATTTACGAGCTTTGGCACTGGCATCATACCCTGAAATAAAATTATAGTATTTATGTATATTGTATGTCTTTGATAATGTCATAGATTTGGTTTCATAACTGCACATTCTCAAGTTAGTATTGATAGTAGTGTACAATATAGTTTATGTATATTTTAATATTTAATATGAGATTTTAATATAGTGATTCATAATTACCCCCGGGTCCCACTCCTACTGACCCAGTGCCAGTACCACCTGGACCATAGCCAAGACCACCTGCTCCAGTGCCAGTACCACTGGGACCATAGCCAAGACCACCTGGTCTGGTGCCAGTACCACTGGGACCAAAACCAACTCCAGAGCCAGGTCTCACACCTCCAAGGCCTCCAGATGTGCCAGTACCTGAGCCACCTGGACCAAAACCATAGCCACCACCTGCCCCTCCTGTTCCAATTCCAGAACCAGGCCCTCCTGCAGTCCCGACACCTCCACCACCTGGAGAAATTTAAGGCACTTTGAGTGTTGCAAACAACACATATTCATCATGTAATCTGGGTATTTTACAGAAATGAAGAAATGTGTCTCACCATATTTCCGTGCTTTGGCTGAACCTGGGCCATAACCTGTGGCCATGTCAGAATACAAAGTTACCAAATCACAAAAGGACTCTTTAAATCCCAATAAACATATTTAATTTCAAATCTTGTGTGTTGAAGAATTTTCAGAATTTATAAATAACATCTATGAATAGAAAATTTCTGAATGAATGCATGATATAACTTTTACAGGAGTATGGAATTACCTAAGCCTGGTATGCCACCACCTACTCCAGGGACACCTCCAGTTCCAACTCCACCTCCAAATCCAGGGACACCTCCAGTTCCAACTCCGCCTCCAAATCCAGGTCCAGTTCCTGTTCCAACTCCACTTCCAAATCCAGGTCCAGTTCCTGTTCCAACTCCACCTCCAAATCCAGGTCCGCCTCCTGTCCCAACACCGCCTCCAAATCCAGGTCCCCCTCCTGTTCCAACACCGCCTCCAAATCCAGGTCCCCCTCCCGTTCCAACTCCACCTCCTGTTCCAATACCGCCACCTGTTCCAACTCCGCCTCCAAATCCAGGTCCTCCTCCTGTTCCAATACCGCCAAATCCAGGTCCCCCTCCTGTTCCAACTCCACCTACAGTTCCAACTCCGCCTCCAAATCCAGGTCCGCCTCCTGTGCCAACTCCACCACCTAACCCAGGTGAGACTCCCCCTCCAGGAACTCTTCCAACCCCACCCCCAAAAGTGCCTCCTTGACCAAGCGCGCCTCCAGCTCCACCTCCATAAATACAAATTTAAACAAAGTATTTTTCTATTAGACCACAATTATTCAGTTACTTTTGCATTATTAATGTTGAAAATGAGGCTTACACCTCAACCGTGGTCTGTACCGTATTTAGCTGCAGCTTTGGCTGGATTCTTCTTGGATTTTCCCACTCCTGCAAATAAAAAATAAAAAAAAGTTGAATTTTTCCTTTCCTTTTTGTCCTGCTGGCCTGTAGCGCTACATGCTGCATCTTCTTCATGTCTCTGCTTCTCTTACCTGTTTTTGGTGATATGAGGGGATAACCACGAAAAATCCCAGGCAATGGCTGTCCTCGCCCATCTAAGGTGAGAGATAGACTTTACACAGAAGCCCTTTAAGGTTCTAACTTGCTGCCATTCACTAATATTTTTTTAAGGTCTTAATATTTAAAAGCCAAGTAATGCACAACAGCTGTACTTGTAATATCATACAGCTTTTAGGTTTAGGCTTTATGATGCTTACTGCCTGCACCTCCCGGTCCAGTGCCACCCTGACCAAGTACTCCGGCTCCTGCAGGGATCAAGGCAACATGGGTTTTTTTTTTGAAGATGAGATTTTCCCGTATTCACAAAGTTCATTTACATACCACTCTGAGTTCCTATTCCAGTTCCTGTAGCCACTCCAGGGAGAACACCACGGCCTCCAAACCCTGATCAGAGAAGACGGGATAACACTTGCAACCTCTTCTGTAAACGAAATCTCTTATAGTGATATATTGTTTTTTTTACCGTATCATCGTGTATTTATTTATCATATGTTTGATATGTTTCAACATACCTTGGCCTGGGACAAATCCACCTTGATAGAGTCCAGGCACGCCAATGCCTGTGTGACATCATATTAATGCAATACGCCACCCCCACCCGAAAAAATCAGTGTTTCTGGTTTAAATTTAGAACTGCAAAGCCTTTTGCATTCTTGTTTTTGTGTTGTGATAAGTTTACCTGGGACTTGCTTTGATGCTTTACCACCACTCTTTACCCCAGGTCCTCCTCCAGTGGTACCAGTCTGTGGCAATGTTGGAACTGAAAGAGGAAAAATGTTTTCTATAGACAAAAGTTTCATCAACTTTAAAAAGTAAGACACAAACTACTTGAAAATTCAGAATAGTATGTTTTACAAACAGCGGGAAATGCGGCATGCACTGTTTAAATGTCAATTTGTTATTACGATTTAATCACAAAAGCTTTCTTTTTATTGTTGAGGAAATGTATATATATTATATACCTCCACCAGGCCCAACTCCTGCACCACCAGGGCCAAATCCTGTTCCACCAGGCCCAACTCCTGCACCACCGGGGACAAATCCTGTTCCACCCGGTCCAACACCTGCACCACCAGGGCCAAATCCTGTTCCACCAGGCCCAACTCCTGCACCACC